CCTGTCTATAAGAAAGCCTCCTATAAAGAAATCCTAAACGAGGGGGAACCTAAATTCAATTACGTATACGGTCCCTAAACCGATATCGTACACCGTATCTCTATTTCCGCAATAAATTAAATTCGTTTAGGATATTTATATAGTAAACCGAATAATTAAGGCTATCGTTAAAAGACTTTGACTGGTTATCGATACAATTAATTACTAATATAATATCAAAATTAAATATATTAAGTATAATAATAAATTTAATAATTAATACGTTAAAGGTAAGTTAGCTATACGTTTTATTATTTTCGAACTTTTAATATTTAATAATTAAATTTAAAACGGCGGTATTGAGCGTTTAAGGGGTATGATTAAAGAAAAGGCACGTATAATAAGAAATAGCGTTAAATTCTCTTATAATTTCTAGTTTTAAATTGTTTTAGTTTCGGTCTACTTTATTAATTGATTGCTTAAGTATTTTTATAATTGGAAGTTACTATACGAGCGGTTTTATATTTTTGTAGCCTATTGTAAGGGGGTATAAACCAAACCTTGTAAGCCTGATTTTAGTTATTTACGTATTTACAGTTGTAAAGTATATATAATAACGAGTATTATATAGAAGAAAGAGTAACGGTGTAAGAAGTTTTAATTAAAGGTTTAAATTGGATTCTGTATCCGCTATACTACCTGTTCTATTGATTAAATTTAAAACCCGTAGATTAATTATATTGTTTATATTTATAATATATTTTTTAACGAAAAATCAATTTATTTAAGGACCTTTAATAATTTTAAAGAAGGATTAAGGTTAATTAGTAACGAGATGACCGATTTGCTTAATTAAATTAATTATTGTTCTTATTTATTAATACGATATTTCGAACTCTTTAATATAATTTAAAATATAGAAGATAACGGTCTTACCCCTTTTTTACTATTATTTTTTGATAACGAATTTTAAGAAGATAGTAACGAGATTATTTCAAAATTAATAGAATTTATTACTTAAAGTAAAATATTTATCCATTTTATATTTAGTTACTTTATTCTATTAAGTATATTACTAGCTACTTTTATTACCGGCCTTATAATAGATTTGCTAGACCCTATTTCCTTCCTAACTTTCGAACTATAGGAAATTGCGTTTAACGTTGGGAGATTTATTTAATTAATTGGGTAGCGGTAAGGTAAAATAGTTACGAAGGTAGAAATTAACCGTTTGATTTTTAAGGGTAGTAGATTAAATTCTATTAAACGTTAAGACTTTCTTTTAATTTTAAAAATTTATTACGATTTCGAATATTATAATTTAAATAATTTCTTTAAATAAGTAGAGGAAGTATATTTCGATAATTATAAAGAAATAAAGTTATAGGTTAAGATCGATAAAGACGTTCCTTATATTAAAGGTTTTTAAATCTTCGATTATATATAGGTATATATATATAAATTTAATAAATATAGTTAATTATTAAAAGTTAAGGTTCGTTTTATAATTACAGGAGATTAATAGTATATTTATAGTAAAGAGACGTATACTTCTACGTCAATTGGTTATTTATTTTAGTTAATTATTATTTACATTATTAAATTCGATTTCGAATTTATTTAATACAATATAGTAAATACTTTTATTAACACTTACTTTAAAAAGGAGATCTATATACGTATACCTCTTAATTATTAAAAGTACGGTATTGTCTTTAAAATCTTTAAAGCCCTCTATAGTATCCGACGAGCTCCCTTATTATAATAATAAGAATTTAATAGGATTTTCGAAAGTTTAGGGTTTAAATTATTATTCGAAGATTTATATATTTTTAAATATAATAGAATTCTAATTTTCTACTACGTTAATAATATTGTCTTTGCTTTCAACAAATTATAATACAATAAAGTTATTTAGGTTACGAAGAACTTGGAGGAAAAGTATAAGTTTATTAGTAATCATAATTTTTAATAGTTTTTAAGTATTGAGATTAGTCGAAACCGAAAGGTAGATTATATTTCGTTATCCTAATAAGAATATATTCATAAAATTACTATATTAATTAAGAATCCCCATATTTTCGCCTTTATTCCAGTAAATAATAAAGAATTTATATTTCATAATAGCGTAGCCTTTTTTAATAAGATTTGGGAATACTAGGTCGTTATTAACTCTATAATATACGTTATTGTAATTACCCAGTTTAGTATTACTTTCGCCGCTAGATGATTAATTTATTATAATTATAATCCTGGTCCTTAATATTACAAAGCTATTAATAAGGTTTTGTACTATTTTTAATACTATTTTAATTTCTACCTTTATTACAATAAATTAATAAAATTTGAGATAGCTTTAAATGCGTTATACGTCGATAATTTTTTAGATCGAAAGAGCTTTTATAGATTTATAGTAAGTTTTTTGGTAGTTTAGTTTATTGGAGTACAATTAAATAAAAGACGGTATCTATTTTAATAATAGAAGTAGAGTTGTTATCAATTTTAAACGCTATTAAGGAAGTTATTACTATTATATATTTATATAAAGAGATTAATATTCCTTTCGATAAGGATATACCTATAATCGGTTATAATAATATATAGACAATTTATATATTAATTATTAAAATAGCAAAGTTAATAATTAAGTTAAAGTACGCTGATATTTATTATTATTAATTAAAACTAAGAAATTATAGAGGGAAGGATTGAAGTTGAGTATTTAGAAACAAAGAAAATATTAGCCGATGGATTGATGAAGGTTTTGGGATAATTGGATTACGAGAAATTCCGGGAATTAATAGGAATAACGAATATATTAGCTTGTAAGGAGATAAGGATAGACAAGGAGATTCCAGATAGTATTTTGGAGGATATTTACAATTTAGCTAGAGAAATTGACGTATTAGAAGAGAGACTTTGTAAATAGCTTTATTTTTCCTCTATTTGGAAGGTTTGTAAGTGAGGGGGTGTGTTAGATTTAAGGGTGGTTTTAGCTATACTATATGGAGGTTAGCGTTCTAGCTACCTGATATTGCCTAATTTCTGGGTATATTTAGGTTACCCCAACACCTCCTATACCTTCTGGGCGAGTTAGTTATATATACTCTTCAATCAATTAATTCTGTACCGTCACATCTGACAGGTAGCCGGGAGAGAAACCTGAAGATTACTATGACTGTGCATCTGAGTCCTTGCAGGGTGCTTGCCATTTAAGGAACTTCGAAAGAACTGAAGAATTGATGAACATGCCGGTGCAAACAGCAAGAACGATCTGAGAATTAAATTCCAAAATCCTAAATGCAATGTCCAACGGCAGGCGTCATGCAGCAGAAGCTAACCAGTCAGACAGACCGTCAACAGCTGTACGGAATTTCATGGAATTTGCACTCATGCACAGACCACCCAATCCCCTATTTAAAGCCAGCTCCCCTCCCCAATTCTTCCTCCTCTTCTTTCCTCTTTTTTTTCTTCATACTTACCTTGACTGACTGCGCGGAGATCAAGAAAACCGCGTAGTACGGTGGAGAGCCTGCATTGCACATCGTGGTGCTCGCCGCCGTGAATTGCCCTTCGGGGCCGTTCTGGTCGTAATTTTTGATGTCAATCCCCTGCAATCACTTGCAACCTTTTTTTCAATGTGTGCTCGGCCTGCGCGGTCGTGCCATAGGGAAGAAGATGTGAAGATGTACGTTCCCATTCGGGGTCAACCTTCGGTTGATGTTGAGGTTTTGCGGCCGGCGCTGATGATGCCCCGCGCCCCCGCGGTCCCGGTCACCCCCAAACCCGATCGCGTACGTTTAAGCCGCCGATACCGGCGATGGAACCCAGCTCACTTCGGGCGCCCTACAGACACAGGCCGAAACGAACATCACGTTCTCGACTGTGATACGAAGGCGTCGAACTCCATGATGAAGAAGACGACATGCTCCCGGTCAGCGAATCAACCCATCATCACAGTCCGCGATTGGTCCTCACAGTCCGCGATCGCGAGTCCAGCCCATGTCGTCAGCTGTGTGAAAAATGACCAAACGCCGCCGCGGGCCGCCAACTCAGGTGATGTAATTGACCATGTCATTCCCGAACCGTGTCGACGAACATCCGTGAGGGACTGAGTGCACATCAATCCATCTACAGCCGACTCAAGCCGCCACTTGCAGCACCGAACAATCTGGTACCGTTCGGCGGAAACTGCCTTCCCTCCACTCATTCCCAGAACCGACGATGAGCAATTCCTCAAGCCATGCTTCCAGCTCATCGCCGACATCAGTGCTGTTATTTCATGGCAATATGGCCAAATAAATGGCAAATGAAAGGCGTATCTGTTCAACGGAACGGATGGCTCTTGTCATCGTCGCACTTGAGCCGCTGCTCTCAGAACGATTGCTGCTATTCTCATCCTCAACAACAATCTCAATCTCAATCTCAACCTCACCCTTCCTCATCCTACACATCATCGGAATGAGCTGCGCCATCAGGCTCCAATTTTTTTTTACTGATCACCGTTCATTAACAATCCTCGCTACGTCACTTATCGCAACCCGCTTCCACTTCCCGAGTTGATCATATTTCTACCTTGGCGCTATGTTTCGGTTTGAAGATTCATCCCTCGGGGCTTTGGTTCAGCGATGTAGATAACTCAAGTTCAATCAAACAAGGGTTTGAGGTTGATTGAGTGGGTCAAGTAATCGAGTTGAGTTGATTGATTGCTTGATTGATCAAGTAATTGCCAAGAACAGTGGGGCCCATAGCGAGCCCTAACCCTGACCTCAAATACCGCTTCCAAAGCCCGAACCGCGGGCAAAATCGACAACTTTTATCACCAAAAAATAATATTGCCGGGCGGCCAATTAAGGTCAATCAAATTGACGGTCTGTAATTGATTGATTGATTTGGAGGGATAGCCCGATTTGATTGCTTGTATTTGCTTGATTGCTTGAACTTGGCTTGGCAACTTGACTTATCTACATCGCTGCTTTGGTTCTCCCCTTGCCCTCTCACATCATCCAAACCTTCTTTTGCTACGGGCTGAAATCAAACAGCACCTCATCCTCCACCTTTACTACCCAGGTCTTTTCCCTAGCTAGATACATGCCCTGTTAATTTGGCAAGACGCATTGATCTTAAAATCTCCCCTCTTTTCCTCAGAGATATCCCGGACCTGAACAACGTTCTTGTCATCACCGCGCTTGTCTACGAGCTCGAGAGATAAGCATCTGAGGTTGTTTCTGTCAGTGCTGGAATCTTGCACATGGAGACATTGGAACGAAGGGAAGACTGTAGAGAAAGGGTGGGGGGGACTAGACTCACCGATGGGCGCCGCGGCCGCGATGGCGATGAAGAGGGAGAGGAGGTGGTGGGTGGTGAGCTTCATTCTGGTCAGGTAGGGATTGTATCTTGGTGGGAGGCGTGTGCTTGGATTGAGATGCTGGCTGGCTGGCGGGAGCTTGATTGTACTCTTCTCAACCTCACGTTCACTACATATCCTCTCATCCCCAGCCAAACTCATCATCCGCCACTGATACAGCTGACTTCCTCTACCTAGATACACGCGTTTATCACCCGGCCACCCTGAGCCTCCGCCTTGCGCTTCTTCTTGACATCTTCCTGGCTGGGGAGCGCTAGTGGAGATTTTGCGGGCCTCGAGGGTGGTGATGGCGTCGGTGCGCTTGTCAACCGGGACTGCTGCTATCAGGTAGGTAGTTGGTAGAGTTGAGATTGATTGATAGGTAGTGACGGTAACGATGATGGTTCTGAGAGCCATGCAGACGAGGAAGCGAGGAGGTCTTTATACTTCTCCCGTGCTCGATCGTCAACGGTCTACTCGTCTTCCTACCTCTTTGTTCCAGTCCATATCCCGGTCTATCGAGACCGCCGCTGTCGTTGTTTCACTTCATCCCGGTCCTCCTCTCCCTTCTTCCCTCATCGCCTTCGTCACGAATCACGATACCTGTATCACATCACAGCTGTACGGTCTCCGCGCCTCAGGATATCGGGACAAGTCCCAGCCGCGGCCCCCCAATGTGCAACATGGCACACCATCAAGCCAAGCCATGCCATGCTTGATCACGCAAGGCTCCCAGGCTCCCTCTCTGCCTCTCAGCCTCAAAGCCGCCAAGATGACGGGCGAAAACGTCATTTGGACTCCTCAGCCAATGATCGCCGACATGTATCAAGACAGCGGCGCTGAGGCGTTGTGGACTTACTCATCCGGATGCGAGCCTTGGAACTCGACAATCTCGTTCTCAACCAATGTGCATTGTGCGTCATGGAGGACGGCTTGGTGATAGACTTTGCCTCGAGTAGGCATATAATGGTGGTGCAGGCACGATAGTCGGATCATGCAAATCAAGGGGATATCGACGACACTCCTTGGCTGTGGTATCGGCACCTGCCTCAAACGGACATGACTTGGATTTTCAGCCAGGAGTTGACAAGCATAGGCGCCTGATGGCGGCCGGACCAGGTGCGATTCGAGCCACCAGTGCAAGAGACACTCGTCAATGGTTTCCGCAGCTTCTTCTCACTGGTCATCAATGTTGTTGACTATGCATCATTAGCTACCTCTACCGATATCTGTATCTCTCGCCTTCCACTTGTCATTTCGTTTGTTTGTGTCGCGCAAACGTCAACATGTTGTGGTGTCGCAGCGTGACGTAGAATGCCCCCGCTGACACTTCTGTGTTACCCGACCTCATAATGAGTTCCGATTACTCAAAATAATAATGCCACGGTCCGATGGTGTAGTTGGTTATCACGTCAGTCTAACACACTGAAGGCCCCCAGATCGAGCCTGGGTCGGATCATATTCTTTTGCAATTTTTTTGTTGCGGATGTCTCCACTTTGCCCCCATTTCTTGTGTGAAACCGTCTCTCCTTTTTTTCAATCATTTTTGTTGCTTTCCTCATTGTACGTGAGGCGGGAAGAGCCGTGCCGCTCAACGACTTGCAGAATGAGAGCCTAACAGGTTGAAGTCCATATGCCTCCAGTCGTGATATCTGTTTCACTCACCACTAGTGCTGACTCGCAGTTCATGAATCTCAGTATTGTCTATCAGCCGATGGTGATGGTAATCCTACTGTACTAAGTCGATAACCCTGCGGCGTGGACAAAGTGGACAAACGACTGTCCTGGCACTCAGTCGACTGAGCGTCCAGGTGGCTTTTTGTGCTCGACTCCAACTCCGTCAGCTCGAGATACTCGTTGCAGTCGAGCGTCCAAGTGGGCGTGAGCGCGCCGCTGGTGCCGGACGGGATCGAGGTGAAGGTCTGCCAGGCAATGACGTTGTTACTGAGTACTGACGTTGCTCATCCACCGCGTCGAGCTGTCGGGAAAGGGCATGGAGGTGCAGAAGGATTGCCACCGGGGTTTGCAGATGAGAGGGACGATGGAGACCGGGCTGGAGGCGGCTTGGGCCGTCTTGATGGCGGAGACGGTGAGTGTCGCGGTGGCGGTGAAAGTGATCAGGTCGGTAGCGGGGATGATCTCGAGTCGGTGTCGGAGACGGCCACGGTCACGGTGACGATGTCGGTGTAGGTGCTAGAGAGCATGGCGACCATGGTGGCGAGTGCGTCGGGGGAATAATATGAGCCCTTCGCTTTGGGTCCCATCCGGGCCTCGCTCGTTTGCGTCTTGTCCTTGTCCACTCATTAGCACTCCGTCACTCCTATCCCCCCCCTTACACTTACCTCCTTGTTCTGTCAGTGTGTTGCTCGCTGTCACCCTGTTAGTCGGTTATTCCATCCTTCAACTTCACCATACTCCTGTCTCTGTATCCTTCTATCTGCCATCATCAGTGCCTTGACCGATGATCAAACTAGAAGTGGGAAACACTGTCCCTCTCGAGATCCGCGTATCAACCGGCTGTATCCGTCACCGATTCTCTCTGCCTGAACTCTCCCAGAGCGAGTCACTCCTCTTCGCCTCCGTCACGGCTCCAGACAATCATTCTGTCTGTATGGACCCTACTGCTGCCCCGGCTCGTGGTTGCTTTCACTGAAGCAAGGCGACCCAAAACCCCTCTTTTGGGTCTCGATATGGTGATCGGAGTCATCACTGTTCAGCGTTCTCGAGTGTTGAAGGTCGGGCTCTTGAAGTTGCTGTACCCAGAAAGGTTTCGCCTTGTCCAACCGCCGACAGCAGTACGTTCATTCGTGGCCGTTCGAAGACCGGGTAGTAGGCAGTCGAACCCTTTGCATGACCCTCGCGTGGCTCAACAGGAGCAACGGCCGCAAAGCCGGGGAGAGTGCGGCCGCGATGAGGTGCTCTCCTGGGCAGAGTGCTGACGTTGACGGTAAAGCCACAGCAGAGGTACTCGTCTGCGCATGGGGTCTGAGGCGTTTCTAGCCCAGACGAGTAGACTTGTCGGAGGCCGTGACAAACGGAAACGTGTAATATGTGGGCAATCTTCCGCCGATCACTTCGAGCGGCAGTGGCTTCAAATCTCGAGACGGTGCGCAGCACAACGGAGTGTAGACCAATGGGCTCACAGGCCTTGGGCTTGTGTGTGCTTGTGTCTGAATCAAAACCTTGCCGTGCTCAGCGCTTCTATGCCTCGCTCTTCTCTTGTTCTTCCTTGTCACTGACTGGTAGTGTTCTATCTCCCGGTTCCCGGTGTCGGTTGTCACGCCCTTGGCACCTTCATGACAACGGGTGGTGTCCATTCTGACATTCGAAGGAAATCTCTCATCGCAGTGATAGATAGGTCGCGCGTGCTCCTGCGTGTAGAGACATAGGAACGTCATACAAGCACCAGCCATGGGCTCGTAGACGGTTCTTATGAGCGCAGAGCGTTCGTAGGCGGCTCGTTTGTGGATGGTTCGCTCGGAATGGTTCGTTAGTGGACCATTCGCTCGTGGTCAGTTTGATTGGGGATGGTTAGGTTGGCGACGATTCGCTGACGGACGGTTTGTTCGTAGGCGGTGTGCCGCGTGGCGATCGGGGACTTGATGCTCCTCGTTGACACCTGCCCTACAGTCCTTCGTTAGCACGAGAAAATAGCCAGCAGTAAGCACAGTCAATTCGGTCACTGCCTGTGGCATCTCCCCTCTCGTCTGTGTGGTGAGCCGTCATCACCGACTCCAAACCCCATCACCTTGGTGGATCCCACACGGCCGTCGTCAAAGCCGTACAACCGCCAACAAGCTAGGAGTCAAACCACTGCCGAGGGCGTGAAAGGACGAAGGAGTTGGTTTCTTGGTTGCTTCGCAGCATAAGCTTTTGACCGCTGAAGTTGCGGACAGCTGATTGGCGTCAGTAACCGCCTGCTACTTGCGAGCGTTGGCCGAAGTACTAGCATCGGCGAAAGGTTGTGTGCCCGCGGTAACCCAAGCTTGTTTGTCATGGGGCTCGTCGGGGCTTTCGTTGCCAGTTAACCTCCGGCACCTCGTAAGAGGACAAATGGAACGGGCTTCGTCGGCCGTACTGTTGGTCGAGGGAAAAGAAGGTTGTTCCGGGAATGCGGTCAATGCGGAGGATGATCTTGACAGAAGCGAAAAGATGGAGCGCAAGAAGAAAGACCGTTAAACGTGTCGGAAGACCCCAGAGGTTGTACGTAAACGGTGTTGGATCTGGGGGCGCCTGGCGTAGAGGAGAGATAGCATCGTCGAAGCTCGCGACACCGGGAGACCCCATTACGGGCACGCTCCAATCACTCGGTCAAAGTGCCCTCTTACATCGCTTCCAACCATCGGCCGTTCTCATCCTTGATGATGCGGTTCTTGTGTTATCGTCGTCTCGTGGATGTCTGACATGCCGACATGCCAAGCAACTTGAACGACGTGTGTAACCATGAGACTTCATGCCGCTTTGGGAGATGTAAGCTGCAAGGGCCCTTTGCGGCTCCGTAGTAGCACAACTTCAAGCGTACGACGCTGGCGAGATCGGAGACGTCTGCGAGTTGTGACTTCATATGTTCAAAAGTCCCCGTAAGGAACTGGCCCTTTTTCTCTTCCGGTTAACTTTCTGGACCTCGTTCTTGTTAGCTTCCGATGACAATCCCCACATCCACCAGAGAATATCCAGACATACCTTGACAGACGGTCAAACTCCTCGCGGAGGCCGATTCGCGACGGCGAGCAGATACACAACACAAGACTGATCTGTTTGGACAGCAGTGCAGCAGCTGCGAGCGGTAGCTATGCGACCCAAAATCCTCATGATCCACGGCGGCGGCACCACGCCCGACATCTTCCGCATCCAAGCCCGCAAGCTCGACGCTGCCCTCTCCCAGTTCTTCGACCTCCACTACGTCTCCGCTCCCATCGAGTGTCCCGCGGGCCCGGGTGTCCTCCCCTTCTTTGCCGGCATGGGTCCCTTCCTGAAGTGGATGCATGACCAACCGCCCGATCTCGAAGACCTTGACACGTTTCCAGCTCTCGACGATATGCTCGAAGTATTCCACGCCGAAGGTCCGTTCGACGGCATCGTCGCCTTCTCGCAAGGTGCCAAAGCGGCGCTCCATCTCCTGCGATATCTTGAGCGGGAGAGGGGAGGAGAGAGAGCGGTTGATTTTGTCATTACGGTGTGTCCGACCTGTCCGTTCCAGGGGATCAAGGATTCGAAGGATCGAAGGAGCCCGTATGCAAAAGCGTGTTTGGAGCTGGGCAAGGTGCAGACAGAGAGTATCCATGTGCTGGCGAGCGGCGATCCGTATAATTACGAGAGCGAGTCGATGATCGAGTTCTTTGAGGCGTCGGCGAGGAAGGTGTTTAGGATCGAGGGCGGACATCATATGCCGATGGATGATGGGTTCAATAGGAAGCTGGCGGAGATGGCGGCGAGGATCTATAATGGGATATGATCGGTCGTGGCCTCGGTGGCTCTTCGGGAGTCGTGTCGAGGATGATGGTGTCGAGGATGATCGTACAGAGGAGGACAAATGGCGTCGGGCTCGCTCATGGAGGAGAGGCAAAACGGGTTGCGGGATATCGAGGAGGCGCTTTGCGAAACGATGATCGAAAAAGATTGGGGTTGGTACGAGTTACGACAGTATCGGCGGAGACCGAGCGTGTAAATTTGTTGGCTGTTTATGACCCTTTTCTCTTCCCCTTTTTGTGTCGCGAATCGTTTCTTTTCTTGTAGAAAACCTACGAATCTACAGTAACTTCTGCTTCAGAGTGGGCGTTCCGGCAACCGCTCGCGAAAGTCTATACCGAGGTGTGAAACAATCTGTTCAGGGATGACGGACGGAGAGACGCTATGGATGTTGTCGAAGAGACGCTTTCGAAGCATGGACGGGGATGGAGAGGGCGTTACGCAATGGGCTGTGAGAAGCTCGAGGATCTCGATCGATTTGTGCTTGGTGTATCTTCTTTAGTCCTCCTCATTCACCTTCCAATCTCGCCTGTTTCTCGTCGCTCCCGGCGTATCGCTTCGTTCGCCTTGGGCCCTGCCACCGTGATCACGCACGACCGTGATGTCGAGATCTGGCAGTGACGCCTTGGTCTGTCTTCTTCAGCGTCGAGCTCTTTAGACTTTTGCTACGAGGTCCGGGTTCGAGGGCTGGTCGTGCGGCGGTTGATCATGGGCATCGTGTATCCTTCGTAGCGCGAGGAATCTCGGGACCGGTATGACGAGGAGTCACTCTGAGCCAAATCAGCTGTCACATTTCAAAGCATTAGCATCGTTGTATAACAGTCGTAGAAGTGAGGGCAAGGTAGTAGATTGACATGGTACGGTAAACAGAAGCCATCCTCTAGTTGATGGACGGTCAAGACCAACAGAAGCTGTTCTGTTCTCGTTCGACGATGTGTCCGTTTTCAGGAAGTGCGTGCGACGCAAATGGCAATTACGCAGCAAAGCAAGGCAAGAAGACAAAAATGTTACGAAGGAGAGGTAAAAAGGCAAAAAATAGGAAAGAGAAAAGGAGACATATCAGGAGCATGAAAAGAATAAAAGAAGAGACTACTCGGCGATGTCCAACAAGCGGAGGCCAAGGGATTTCGGAGAAGCGGCGCTTGTAAGAAGTCAGTCGCGAGCGATATCGTCCATCGTCGCCAGACTCGCTCCAACGTTCTGCGACAGACCGAGGTTGTCCTCGACTCGAAATGCGTTCCTCACGGAGCAGGGCCCGAACAATAACGGTTATTCCGGTTATAAGCGACGACAAGGACGATGACGTCAGGATGAGGACGAGCGACGGGGCTTGGTCCATCAATCATCACGGCCGGCGACGGATTCCAGAGGCATTCGCGGCATCGGATTCGCGGGCGCGTTCTACCGAGCGCATCGTTCGAGCTCGGGAGGATTGTGGACGGATGATCGGCGGGCAACAGTCGAGTTCGAACGCCGTTCCCGTCCTTCAGCTCGACTGGCTGGAAGAGGACTTGAGTTGGGAGAAAGGGGTTTGTTGATGTGTTTCCCCGGAGAAACGGGGATGAACGGTCGACAGGGCAACCTTGACTTGGCGTCCCACTTATTATGTTAACGACACTTCCTGATGAAGGAAGATGGCCGTGATCTCGTTCAGCATGCCCGCGTGTTGTTTTGGGAAAAGACAAACAAATGGCGGGGTGGACATTGCGTGTCCCAAGTTGGGGAAGAGGGAGTTGGGGAAATTGGGGTAGATGCGGGGTAGGACCTGCTTATTTACAGAATCAAAAGTGCTTACAGGTATCTTACGTTGTGGGTAACATTCTCGCGAATGCCGTCACGGTCTGCAAGCTGCCTTCGCTCCTCCTTTTTGGAGTACGGACCTCGCTGCATCGGGACCTCCATTCTGTCATCTCCGCCGCTGCAGCTGCAGGTGTGATGGGTTGATGACAACATCATTCATTCCTTCTTTCCTCGATTTTTTGGCTTCTTTCTTTCTCTCGCCCGAGACCATCGCTCATTCATTTGGACGCTGGTCATCCCGTCTCTTCGGACTCGCTGCCTCGCCGAGGACACTCGATAGCGACCAACCCGCCAAAACTGCACACCAATCTCTTCAGTGGCCACCCTCGACTTCATTGTTCGCGCTATCCAAAACCGTGACTCGATACCTTCTCTTGGTGGGTGATCGTGGATGCCTTTCACCGTCTCGTCCCGACCACTCCCCTCTCGCGGGCACTCGCATTTCTTGATCTGATTCAGGCCAGTAAAACGATCAAAACCAGGACATGGGCGTCTTTGAGGACAGGGCTTGCCATCAGCAAGACAAGAAAACTACGATGACAACACCACCGCCGCGAAACAGAGATTTCTATCGGATCAGGTTTACTTGCCCCTTGACGGCGCTTCCCTCCCCCTTTTTACCACACCTTACTACACTATGGGTGTCCTTTGTTGCTAACTTTGATCTCCAGGCAGGTATCCCTTGGCCCGCCGTTGCCACAAACCCATGTGCTCCTATGTCGCGACCCGCGATGCCGGCCTGTCACGAGTCCGACGTTAAGTTACCGCGAGAAATCAGTCCGCATTTCCCTGGCCGTGGTCAAGAGGGGAGATCGAGCCTCGAAGTTCGGCTGTTTAGACGGGAAGCCCCAGCAACCGGTCCAACGACCAACGCATATCTCAACACCCGTCTCCGACCTGCTGCTCCTCCTGGACCCCGTCGCCGAGTGCTCGATGGTTTCTATCCTGGGGTTGTCAGCTCTTCCGAGACAGTCCACGTTCCTTTCGCCGCAGTCGGCATTTCTATGATTCGAATTGCCCTACAACCCCCGAAGGATGGCTCGCGACGGTCTCTTCGCCTTGTGGAGGCAAACCGTTTCCTGTCATGCATATCTATATCGGTCTAGTTCGCTTGTCTTGTTTGGCCACCCTTGCGCCCCTTCAGCTTCTTCCGCTTTTTTGAACCTGCTTGCTTCGTTGTTTCCTCATCCGCGTGCCTACGTCCAAACAGCAATCACTGAATGTTTCGCTCATGGCAAGTCGGTCACTATTTCCCTCCTTCGTTCGTTTCTCATGACTTCTACGCGTATAAAGTCCTTGTGTTGTCCTCGGTTCTTCACCCACTCTATCCACTTTGAGTACGAAGCCGCTCTCTTCTGGGGCTCCAGCAAAAGCAAGCGGGCACGGTAGAGATGGCGACGACCTGTGTTACGACGATGGCAAAGATAGCCAGTAGACCCAGTCACCCCGTGTCGTTCAGCAACTCATCGAAACCCTCTCCCCTCTTCAACCTCGAGACTTGGCGATGCTCGTGGCAGTCATGTACCCAAAAGCCAACTGATGGAACTCCCACACCACCTCCTGGGAGCGGCCCAGCTAAAGTACCGAGCAGAATCCCTTCCTATTCTCAATCCGTGGACTCTTTCCAACCCATACATGTCGCACTCGGATCTCCCTTTCTGAAGACACCGAGGCAAACTGCAAGAATATGCCGACAGGAGGAGGCGGACCGAGGAGACGAAGTCACCAGCAGGGCGATGATGGGACTGAGAGGGATTTCGAAGCGGCGAAGAACGGGAAAGTTCTCCGATGTACAGTTTTCATGGATTCCTCATGTCACCAGCACAGTTGCTGGTAGCCACGTCTGGTATGGGAGTTGGGCGTTCGTTGTCTGTTTCAGAATACCCGAGGCTGAGTTGGGGTATGAGTTCGAGTTGGTTGCTTTCCTACTGATGGAACACAGCTGTTCCTATCTTGGTTATTTCATTCTTTTGCTTTCTTTGACTTCCTTCGATTGTCGCTCTCTCCTGTTCAACTAGTACGGAGCAAGTGTTGAAAGTGTGACGTTCAGTGGCCCCCTCCATTGCCTCCTATTTTGCCTTTCTAATTGGCTGTTGTCAGCTCTACCTTTGCAATGGTCGCCTTTCCTACTATTCTCAGGAGGACAGTATGTTGTTTCCCAAGTATTATAAAGCTGCTTGATCGTCATATTCTTCTACTTCATGACTAGAAAGTTGTCCGAATCAGCTGCCGCCGCGATAGATGGTCTGCTGGGGATAGTTCCAACTTGCACCAAGTGCGGCAAAATACTGCGACAACAACATGGGGCCAAGGGCTTGCCAGCAACTACCATCAAGCTCAAAACAACATGTTCAAGAGAATCTTTCTCCACTTCTGCGCAAGCAAGTTGATGGACAACGACCGATGGAAGATGACAAGAGTGTCGGTGAGGACAGCGGGGGAGGCCGAGTGGCCCGGTTAACCGATTATTTGCGTGTTGCGGCTTACATTCCAGTTTACATCAGCGACAATGGTGCTACTAGACGTCTTGAAGATCAAGAAATTATAGGAGCAGAGAGCCTAAGTCACCTATCGAGACGGCGGGCAGGAGGTCTCATCGGCTGCCTCTCCGGCCCAGGTGGGATCGCGGGCCGCACTGATGCCACTCGACAAGTTTACGACGGGACGTTGCCAAGGACAGGTAGCCCCGACTGGCCGGGCACTGGGTAGTCGTGTGTTGGGGTAGCTAGGTCGTGCGGTTCGTCTCTAACACCCATCTGGTGGGAGCCAACAGTCCCGTTCCTGCCTGGACGAGTTCCCGAATCCCAAGCACCGGCCAGACACAACTTCTACCCCACTTTGACTGGGCAACGCTTGCGCGCCGCTTTTACCTCGTGGCAACCCAGCTGGAATCTATTCCAGGTTGTTTTCTTTCCTGCTTTGAACGTCATAATCCACCCCCATCAAGACCAACTTGGATTTGCCCAAACAACGGTCACGTCTTGACAACCCCCGCACGGAATAGGTTCTACACATTGAGAATTATTCTGCTGCAAGCTTTGGTTTCCGTACCACAATCCCCCCAGTCGTGAGATCTGGCAACGATACCATCCCGACAGCGGTGGCATCTCCATCCAGCAAGCCGACAGGACGCTTTCTGTTTGATCCCTGGTAGCTGTTTCGTTCCGGTCGCTGGACCTCCCAAGCCGAGGGGGAGCATTCAGCTTCACCTTGACCTGCTTCCGTACGGACGAAGCCTACAATTCCCGAGCGATCTATCGCTCACCCTCTTCAAATTCGCCCTCAGTATCTCCCGCTACAGACTCTTCGCCAGATACCGCCGTCATGGACGCCCACGCCCAAGGCAATCTGCCCGCCGAAGATCACTACGCCAGGCCACCCGACTTCTGGGTCGCTTTACTGGAAACACTACCACTGTGTGATGTGTGCTCGGAGAGTCATGTGCACCTCCCGGGCGCAACCAGGTGTATAGATTGCCTGGAAAACAGCCCTGGCCCTCAACGCCGGAGGGATATGTACCGCATTCTCCACATAGGTGGATTTTATTGTAGCAGCTGCTACATACGAGAAACGCCCATTCTTGGGCATTCTTGCGCTCGCTGTCTTCGTATGAGGCTAGCGGCAAAGCTTAGACGGAAGCTGATCGCCCGCCTTGTACCGGCAAGGAGGAAGTTGGCAATCGTGCGCGAGGTGGCAGAGTCTGTGGGAACTGAAGACAACGCTGTTGTTGCCGTAAAGGATGCTATGAGGGCCATCCTCACTGTACGCAACGTCTTCAAGCTATTAGATCGGGCCCATCAGATCTTGCGAGAGCTCACGGAGCTTGATGCGGCAAGGGCAGGCGCCATCGCGCCGGATTTCCATGACGCAGTGGAGGTGTATCAGGAAGTGTCACGTTTGGCACAGGATGCCTTCGTTTCCGCTACCGCTGGTTGGATGGGACAGGAGAACGAGGACCAGCACCATGCAGAAGCCTTGTCAAACATCAACAGCTTCGTCCCTCAGATACTCGCTCAGCACCCAGAGCAGCATCCAGCTCAGCAGCCAGAGAAGCATCACGCTCAGCACCCAGGCCAACATCTCGCTCAGCAGCCAGAGCAGCATCACGCTCAGCACCCAGGCCAACATCTCGCTCAGCACCCAGGCCAGCATCCCGCTCAGCAGCCAGAGCAGCATCATATTCAGGAGCCAGGCCAGCATCCAGCTCAGCATCCAGAGCAGCATCCCATTCAGCAGAACCCCACTGCTAATCAACATGATGATCAACACTACCCCCGTGTTCCTCTGGTAGACCAAAACAACGTCATCCCGCTGGAGGTGCCTGATCTACCTGGCCAGCGTCATCACTCCCCCAATGATCACTTCTTCTACGATAACAATCTGCCACAGCCCGCTGCTCAACAGCACAATCAGAATCAACACGACCAGGACCACCTTATTCCTCAAGCGTTTGAGGGCAACCTCACTTTGCCAGGTATGCCTCAGCTGTTTGACGAAATTCAACACGGTCCGGACGATCTCCTGCCCAACGATTACAATATTCCTCCGCTGGTCGCGCCTGAGGAGGATAATGATGATGACGATCCCTATCCGGACGATATCTTGTTGGCCATCGACCGTTTCGGGCACCAAGAGTACAACCCCGTTCCCCAGACGGACAACTGAGCTATAATCAGTGTTGTTCGACAATGCTATCATCTGGGGTTCAACATGGTGGGTTGGGACGATATGTCAGGGATCAAACTGCCCAAGGACGGCAAGGACAACCCGAAGCGACCGAATCCGCTCCATAAGACCGGAGAGACCTCGAATCAGAACTGCCGTCGCCACGGCGCAAAGGACCCGTCGACTGGAGGCTCGAGTATCTTGATACTAAACAGGCAGTCTCCGTCATCAAGCATGAAGAGTAGGCGGAGTAGGCGAAGGGATTAGGAAGGTCTGTGATTTGGGTTGGTACGTCTGCCCTCGAATCTTACTAGGCAGATGAAGGAAGCCGGTAGTGAGGTTGCTACGGACTTGGGAAGCTTGGAGTAGGGCGTTGATTGGCTTTGGAAGATACCCGAGCGGAGTATTGTACGAGTTTTAGTTTCTATTTGCTACCCTGATGCTGGAGAACAAGCTGTTCTCGTCGTCATCACCTAGAAATACCTATATAGTCTGGGTATGGTTTCATATCTCTCCCATTCTTTCCTCGTCCTTCTTCCAAGATTTTATGGTGCTTCTCTACTCGTACAGTGACATAACAGAGCTTTTTCTAGGGGATGCGGCCCTGTAGCTTCGAATCCTCGAAGACGAGGGAAATAGGGAGAGCAGGTCACAAAGGCTGTCAAGTCAACCCCGGATCAGATCTGTCTGAATGCCTAAGGGCTCCCCATGAAGTAAAGAGCATTGTAAACATCGTGGATGGCAAGATCGAAGCGGTCCGTACGCCCTATTTATCCCCAGAACTTCTCCGTGCACTTCGAGTACGTACCTTGTGGGAGCAAACCGTCTCATGTTGCTTGGACGGCTTCCCCGACACACCCAAATTCCAACTTCTACTCCACTGTTTCAAGGACCGAGTGGGGACTGGGTAACGGTCGTTGGCAGGGCACTCTCGCTTCGTGGAAATCCAGCGAGTAGCTTCTTTTTTTCTTCTTTTTTTTGCCGTCCTACTCGACGACTACCTTAATCATATTGTGGTCAACTGTTGGGACAAGCACCAGACACAGATGTCTTCGCACACGCGCAACACACTCAGTAACCGTCAACCCTCCCCCTCATCTCTCCCCATCTCTCCCCATCTCTCCCCATAACTCCTCATCTCTCCCCATCCTGCGCATATCTTCCCCGTCTTGCGCATCTCTCCTTAGAGACAACCACCGCGCTCCTTCCTCCTACCCAATCCACCACCCCCAACCCACATCCCCAGACCTTCCCTAACTTCGTTTTCTCTGAACGCGCCCACTCCTCTCAGAGGATCAGAGAATTTCCTCCGCTTCCCCGCGCAGCGCACACACTGGTTCTTTCTGGTAAACTGAGGAGATGGATGAAGAAGGACAGATCCCTCAGCATCCTGTCATCGTTCAGGTACGCCAACACTATGATGCTTCCCCTTAGACGCATCAGTCACACCCATGATGGTATCTTCGTCGCTTCTTGTATGTAACTAACTTGCTCAACAGGGCCACCAACCCGGCGTACAAGACGAGCAGGTTAACAACAATCCTATCGTCCACTACCAGCCGGTCGAGGTCAATCCTCCTCCCAATCAGAACCACCTAGCCGTCAATCAACCTGCGAGCCACAACCACTTAGCCGTCAATAATGCGGCGAACCAGAACCACCTAGCCATCAATCAACCCGCGAACCAACCCGCGAACCAGAACCAGCCGGTGGTCGTTGACCAACATGAGGACCAGGCTGCCAATCATCAGGCCGGGGGGCACCCCTTTGACCATCCCCCAGCCTTGTGGATCGACTATCTTGAGACTCTTCTGATGTGTCGCAATTGCGAAGTAAGGCATGTCCATTTGCCCAACGCCAGGACATGTCTGAGTGCCTGGAAAATAGGCCAGGCCTGTTGAGGCGTCGCAGGATGAACGAGATCCTACATAACGGCGGCTTTTACTGTAGCAGTTGCTACATACGGGAAGCCCCGCACCCGGGAGAGTCATGTGCTCGCTGCAGGCATATGAGAGCGGTGGCCGGTTTTCGGAGGAGACTAACCCTACTGCTTGGAGAAGCTCGGGAAAGGTTCCTAACTGCGTTGGACGCAGTGCTGATTGCTGTGGCCGCAGACACGTTCCTGATTGCTAGTCGGGAGTCACTTGGCGCTTTTGAAGCTTCTCGGGAAGCCTTCGATATTCTCCAAGAAGTCCATGAGGTTTGGGTCCGGCTGGCCGCCATCGATGCGCCTAAAGCAGAAACGGCTTTGCCGGCACTGATCCGCGCGTATGAACAGTCTGCCGAAGTTTCCAACCGCGCGGTTCGGGCTTGGGATGTGGTTACTACTCGACTGGCCGCTCCCGCGGGCGTAAACAACGCCTATCCTGACGCCCATCTTCTTGCTGTCCAGCAGGATAACGGTGTACTGCCTCACGACAACTAGGCGGTTTACTCCGACGGAAAGTATATGGAATGGGACAACCTGTCGTGCCAGGAGGACACCACTTGGCACCTGGACGGAAGCCCCTCGACCAACAGATCACAGCAGGCCGTTTCCCGACTTGTCGTTTGCTAATTAAGATGGGATATGAGGATTCAAGACGAACCTTCAAGGCGTGAAAGTGAAGCAAACAGATTCGCCATATCAAGCAAGCAGGGCCAGGGGGTAGATACAGACCGACAGAAAGTCCCAGAATGACGATACTCACTATAACGGAGCAGCGCTAGAAATAACTCGTTTCAACTCAACTCGGGGGTTCGAGTTAGTTGAGTGGGGCAATTCGAGATTTCGAGTTGAATCGAGTTGAGTTGAGTCGAGTTGAGTCGAGCAAGTTGCCAAGACCGTGAGGCTATATATAACCCTAACCCTCACCCGAGTACTCTCTTCAAAATCCGGTCCCCGGCCAAAACCAATGCACTTTTACTACAAAAAAAAATTCTGCAGGTTTGCTAAGAAGGCGGCCAACTCGGTAACTCAACTCGAGGGTCCTAAGTCGAGTTGTAACTCGAGCCAAAATCCCCGAGTTGAGTCGAGTTGAGCTGAGTTGAGTCGAGTCGAGTCGAGTAAGTTGAGTTATTTCTAGCGCTGTAACGGAGACCCAAAAGTCTATTAAGAAGCGACGTTACTGTAAGGATGGTCACAAAAGCTTTCCGATGAGAAGCTGTGGGGAAAGGAAGCATGGTTCCAAGGGTTTCCTGTTCCTCGGGAACGGTCCTCGATGGCCGTGGCCGGTGGCTAGTTACCACTGGGTTTGGAACACTTCCGAGGTCTGGACTATGGCATTAGTTGCCTGAAGGTCGTTTTTGAGACACCCCGAGTGGAGTTTTGTACGAGTTTTAGTTTTTATTTGCTGCAGTGACGCAACAGCCTCCTCCGTCTCGGCCTTCTCCTTCTCGGCCTTCTTGCAATCGTCCTCGGTAACCAGAAAGCGTCAGTTGAGCTTGTCCTCAATCTTGCCGAGCTGTATAGTACCCTTGAGTTGCGAGAGGAGCTTGAGGCAGATGGCGCCGGCGTCCTGTTGGCCCTCGGGAGAACAAAGCTGTTCTCGTAGCTGGAGATACCTAAGGTACAAGGTCCTTGCGTGGTTTCGTATCTCCTTTTTCCCATTCGTTCCTCGTTCTTCTTTCAAAATTTCTGTCGTGCTTTTGTCCCCGTACAGTGAAACTATGGCAATGTGATATAGTCTTGTGCCCAGCCGGCCAGCCGTGCCAGCCGTGCCGCCTGCTTGCCGGGCTGGACCCACTTCCCAGCACCACCTCCCTTAGCTAGCTTTTCCTCGCGTTCGTTCGTAGCCTTGTCTTCCTTCTGAATACATCAACTTCTCTCTCGCCTTCTTTGTCCCTACTATCGTGACGGTCCAAGATATAGCCCTATAGCAACCATCCCCGGAGCATGAGGGGACATGGAAGAATAGATCACGGAGGCTGTCAAGTCGACGGCGCATCAGATCCCCCTCTATTATAAAGAGCACGCAAAATGAAAGGAAGATTGTGAACTTCGTGGAGGCCATAATAATCCAGAAAAGAACTTTCAGCTCCTTATATATTCCCTAAAGCTCGTATGCCAGTTCAGGTACCCCCAATCCTCCCAACCGGGACGAGTTTCCAGACACATAAAACTTACAAGGCTACAACTTCTGCTCCACTTTTCGAGCAGCGAGTGGGCACTGTGTAAGCCTTGTCCGTCGCTTTAACCCGGCGGGCAGCTCTTGCTTCCTTTTTTACTTTATATCTCGATCACAACTCCATCGTAGTCAACTTTTGCAACAAGCACAGGCATCAAAATACCACGCGCGCATCACCAACACTACCCTCCTCCCCATCTCATCTCCATCCCTCCTATATTTCCTTGGGAACTACCGCCGTTATTCCTACCACATCTCCAAAATCCCCACTACCAACCCGCGCAGCCGCACTTCCGGGCGCTACTCTACTCTGTCAGCTCGTCAACTCTATCCGCTCGTCAACTATATCCTCCCGTCAACTTTTTTCTCTCCGGCCAAAGTCAGCGCCAAAATCCTCGTTCTGCCCCGCGCACGTTCGCGCCATCGGGTAAGCCTCGTCTTTCTTCGCACCCGCCTCGCGACACATTGTAATACCAACTCTGCTGTCACCTCGAAGTCGCTCCAATCGGCGTCTGCTCCGTACAAGCACCCGCAAGCAACCCATATCGACCACCTCGCCTGTTATTACCGGGAAGACTTACCTACCGGCCACCAAACCGGTCTCCTTTCTCGCGCAACCACCAGCCGGCATCTTGATCCGTCCTTTGCGGTACCTCCCCGCGCTCGCTGCTTGGCTTCCTATCGCAACCACCGGCCAGCACCTTGATCCGTCACCGCCTCTGTGGCACTTCCCCGCCAACGCTCATTGTGGGATTTCTCCTCCGCATCCAGCAGCCGTGAGAACACCGCAAGATCCAAAGCAGTCAAGGTGATCGAGCTACGGGATAGTTCGAGCCCAATTCTCACCGCCTGATCCGCCATCTGTCAATCCCTCGTCGAGCGCCGTCGCCATGGCCCACATTTGCAGTAGCTGCTACCTCCGCGAGGTCCCGGAGGCTGGCGTGTCTTGCCCTCGCTGCCATGACTGGGTCGCACACAGGCAGGGAAGAAGGGTGCGGGAACTGTTGAGGCGAGCCGCGGCCCAGTTTGAAGTCGCGACTGACGCAATCCAAATTGGTATGGAGCAGGAGGACGTCCGAATCTCACTTCAGGAGGTGATGAGAGCGGATGCGGCTTCCATGGAAGCCTGGGAGATTGTCCAGGCTGCCCAGGAGGTTGTGTTCCGGATGGCGGCCATCCATACAGAGACAGCAGTTGCGGCTAGAGCGGAGCTCATCCACGCACTTGAGAGGGCTGGAGAGGTCGTCAACCTAGTGGGAAATGCCCTCACCGCGGTGGCTTCTCGCCTGGCCGCTTAGGATAAGTCCCTACCCGAGGGTCAAGATACTCTGTACGTGGATGCTCACCTCCTCTCGGTTCCAACGAGCCTCTTGGCTCCAACCAGCCTGACGGCTTCAACCAGGTCCAAGGCAACTTTGGTCAGCAACCTCAAGTCACCTCCTCGGCGGTTGACTGAAACAACGTCAATCAGCCTCTCACCATCAAAGTCGCACGGGTACAGCAAGTTCTGATTCCTGTGCCCCACGCTCAGGCCCAGCACCAGGCCGTCCAGGCTCTTTTCGCCGTGACACCGGCTACGGAGAAAGAGGAAGTTGAACGCATTGTTCGGGCTGCGGCAACAATCCTTCACGCCGACCATCTTTGTAGGAGGCAGGCAAACCAACGGAGTAATCGAAGAGATATGCCGAGTCGATCTAATGGAACTAGACAGTGGACAGAGACCGACAGATTGTCCAACAAACAGTTGCTCACCATGTCGGGAACACAGGAGAGTCTATTCAGTCTACAGTTCTACGAGGAAGCGATAATGCCGACATCGATGAGTACTATGGCTTCTCAGTAGGGAGGCTTAGGGGAGGGAAGGGGTGTTTTGTTTTTTCACTGTTTGCTCTGGGACGAGCCTCGGTGATCATAGCCGGTGGTTAGTTACCACTGGCTTTGGAAGACTACGAGGTCTGGAGACCTACGGTACCTTAGGTTTGCTACGTTATCTCTCTTTAGTCTACACATCACAAAGAACAAAGTTGTTCTAGTTCTTGATAGGTCTGCTCTTCTCCTTGTTCCGTTGTATCTCTTGCTGCGAACCTTATTTTCTTTCGATGTAAACTTCCCCTCCTCTAACATGTTGATGGAGGATATACACCAAGGATGTCACTGGATTGGCCGCGAACCGCGCCGCATATCTTGCAGACAAAAGCCGTGTTGTGTCGCTTTACACTCATCCGTCGCTTCAAGATTGTTCCGTCTTCGAGCCATGCACGTTCAGCAGGTGGGTTACCAGGAACTGTCTAGAAGTAAGTTGAAGCCTTTCTTCCTCTTCTGCAAATCCCTCACACCCAGTTTTGTACTAATACGTCCTACTTGCCCAACCACCAGACTCTGAGCTCTTGACTCACTCAACGCAGAACTGCCGAACACGGAACTGCACTTTCAATCTTTCCCCTAGAGGTAGCTATGAAGTTGCCTCAACCAAAGCCGAGACATCCAGGGTCTTAGGATGAAGCGTCACCGAGCGAGGTCTCTGCCCGCACGCGGCTGTCTTATACCTCGAATACCCCGTCATCCTATGGACAAAGCGAACAACGATCAAGATATTTCATCGAATAGACACAGCGGAGAGCCGATAGCTCTGCCTCAGCACCCAACCCAAGTGGAAGGCTAACGGCATAGGAGAGAACATTGCGCGAGGCGGTACTCGCGCTAGATGCCCCTCAATCCTCTTTGTCCTCTCGTGCTACGAGTCAGTCAAGTAACCGAGAAACCGCCCCCTTGCTTTTCTGGCCCCCTTCAACATCTAATTCACAACAAATACCTCGGCTTCCCGGACGCCCAGAGCCATCTTCGGCTCTCCTCCCTGAGTTCATAAGGCCCCGCAAACTTGCTCCTAGTCCTTCTCAGCAACCTGCGTCTTCCTCTTCTAGACAGCCCAACCCACACCACCCCCGCAGACGCTCCGCGACCCCTCCGAGTGACCCTCACAGGCCAGGCAATCGACGTTACCGCTCTCCCCTAGTCTCCGCCTCACCCCCTCCGCCAATCAGCGCGTCCAATAGTCCGGGACTTATCGAGAGCTGTCGGGAGAAAGGCTGTAGCGACCAAGTGCACCAGCCGGGAGCCCGACTTTGCAAAAAGCACTTGAAGCTCAACAGCATGTATAGCGAGAACTCAAACTCGTCAAAGAAGAGGAGGAAGACAGAGGCGGCCGGGAAAATGATTTGTACGGGTTGTACTGCCGGGGTTGCCGGGCGTGGTCCGAACTTGTACTGTTGGCAGTGTTTCCACACGAGAAAGTGTGCAAGATTGAGAAGAGAAAGGAAGGACGACAACTGTCCTGGGTGTCTTTGGGAAAAGTGCCCGAATAGGCAGTTTGGTTGGGAGAACCATCGTAGAGAGAAACATAAACTCTACCCGATTAACGATGAGGAGAACAACGATGACGAGAACAACGATGAGGAGAGCAACTATGAGGGGGACAACGATGAGGAGGACAGCGATGAGGAGAGCAACTATGAGGGGGACAACGATGAGCAGCACAACGATGAGGAGAATAACGATGACCGGAACGACAACAAACACAACGACAAGGAAGAAGACAACAACGACGAAGACAATGACAGTGAAGACGACAAATGGAGGGGTTGGCACAAGGAATTTTGTTTACAGTCGAAGCAAACAGGGTTGGGCTATTACTGTCGTGGGTGTCTTTGGACAGGATGTCCCAACAGAAGTCGTGGGCACTTGTTTTATAATATATGGGGGATCTACCCCAACAGCGATTATAAGAACAACGATAACGAGAACGGCGGTAACGAGAACGACGAGAACGACGAAAAAGAGAATGAAGATAACGACTATAACAACGAATACGAGAACAAGGAAGAAGACGATGACGACGATGACTGAGAGGATAACGATTGGGGTGGATATTAAGCTCACACAGGGTCTGGATCTGGATCTGGATCTGGATGTGAACATCTGTGCGGCGGGTAGTCGATAGGGTGGCGCGAATTGAGGGAGGCACTTGCCGAAAAGACGGTGCGGACAAAGAGACATTTAGAAACAGCCCTTTCCCAAGACAAGGCACCGCATGCATACCTAGGTACCTGGTTTCAAGTTCGTGCCGGACGGGAGATGTGTTGGACAAGGAGACCCGTCTTCACGGGGTGAACCGAGGCCATGTGCAAGAAAAGGGGACGACAACGTCAGCACAAACAATCCATCGAAACAGGAGGCCACATCGGAACAGGACGGCAAGATTCAGAAGAAGAGAACAAAGCCATTCAAAGACATCCAAACAAAATACTGCTGCCTTGCAACTATCATACATCTCCCGCGTTCCTTTGTTCCACCTTCTTTGTCTGCCAGTGTTTGCAGTTTCAAATTCCCATTCCATGTCCACTCCAACTCCCTCTACCCACCCACCACATCACACCCTCACTACCTCTACGCAGCAATCTCACTGAAGTAAAGCCCCGGGTGATACCTCGGACACTTCGGCCACATACATCCCGAGCATCCCTCCTCACCCCTCTTCTTGGCCTCCTCGTCTTTCTGAAAGTGAACGCACTTGAAACAACCTCTTTTGGAGAATCCATTTGCAGTCTTTTTCATCTTATGGTGAACATACAAAGTCTTGAGACAAAACACGGTCTTGAAGTTCCAACCAGGACCGGGACAGTCTTCGTGGGTGTACTCCTTGGTATGTTTGATCTTGACTGGTTTGGGAGGTTTCGGGGGTTTCGGTTGCGGAAGCGGTCCTGGCTTGGGGACTTTGATTGGCTTTGGGGCGTTCTTACACATTGGTTTCTGCTTTTGTGTGGGGATTAGGTGCTTTGATGTGGGGGTTTTGCCTACTTTGTTTCTTTTGGGGTTTTTCTTGGCCTTCTTGGGTTTGGTCATGGTGATTTCTGACGGGTTTCTTTGGGAGGGGTGTGGTTGATGTGTGATTGGGGTTGAGATCTTGGTAGTAAACTTTGAGGTGAGGTGATCTTGTTCGGCTTCGAGATCAACGGTTAGAGAGAGAAGAAATTCGCGTATTTGTAGGAGAAATGTGAGGGAGATGGTGACAAGAAGGTAGTCATTGTTCAGAGATCAGGAATTCCACTCATAATAGAGGCATGTTACACATGTTTCATGATATGGATATCGACTTATGATCACTTTGTTTCTCGAAGCTATGGCTCAGGAACACAGAATTCTATTTTGAATACCATTGATCCAAGCTCAACGGCACCCATGACAACCTGTTACTACCTCTACTGAAGCTAAAAGAAGTGGTAAAGAAATGCCAACATCGGTCTGCTCCATGTCCCTGCCCTTTATGTCCTGTACCGATTTCAGGCAATCTTGCGGCCTTGCCTCTCGATGCTATGGAAGACATACCCTGATACAATGACAGCCTATAACAGAATTCCTTCCCATTATCCGCAGTCCGGATGGGCGACAAGGTTAGTTGACACCGGTAAAGCGAGGGCATTCGGCGAAACCACAGCCCGGGCATTCGCCATGCTTCTTCTTCCGGCCCTTGTGATAACAGTCCCAGCAAGCCACAGGATTTCCCACGTGGTGCTGATGATCACCGTGATGCCGGTGGGTAATGGCGCCCTGAGGCTGGTGAGGGGATTCAGGCGGAATAATGGGGTTGTTGTTGCTGTGTGCCAGAGCATCTCCCACGTGGTGCTGATTTTCGCCGTGATGCTGGTTCACGGGGTTGTCACAGCGTTCCACATCACACACCTTTCCAGGTTCCTCAGGGACGGCCGGGACTTGGTTGACGACCTGGTTGGGCGCGTATAAGGCAACAGGGGCTTGGAAGTTGAAATTAAATGGGAGATTGTTGTTCAACGGCAGATTGTTGTCGTTGTGGAGATGATGAGGCGGACCGATGAACGAAAAGTTGTTACCTCCGTGGATGTGGAGGTTCATCGGGTCACCATGCCCCTGCCCCAGGACTTGCGGAGCCCCCTCTGTGGTCTTCCAGACGTGCACTCACGGCACGGGTTGAGTGCCAAAGCGTGGGAAGCATCGAGCCTGGCTCGCCGGCGCGGCCCAATCCGGCTGCGCAAGTGCATTTCGCACTTCTTAGCCCGGGGGCCGAAATGGTTGATCGGGTTGATGCAGCCCTCCACCTCGAAAATCCGGGTAGGCTGGGGAGGGTAGAGGTAGACATGGGGAGATTCCTATAACGGCGCTCCGAGAAGGAACCACTTGGCCTGTGGACCATGACGACTCTCAGGGTTGGTGACTTCCGCTGATTATGACATGCATCAAAACCCAGTGTATAAGGTATAGAGGATAATGTTTGTTTGCATAAGAGATTCATAGCAACATTAATACCGGTATGCAACCATCAACCCAATCGAGCTTTGATAATGTACCGACTTGTTGTAAAAGAATCATTGAAAGTGGAAGTGTGCCAACGAAGTCTATTTCTACTCAAATACCTCTATGCTACCGTAACCCCAGGTTTGATGGAGAGACTTCAAAGCCATGAAAATACCTATAGCTATTCCCTTGCACCCAATTTCCCCTTTCGATGAACTAGGTACAAGCCCTTTACAACACCAAGCAACGGAAAAAGACGACTAGAGGTAACCGAAGGCGGGCACTTTGTTCAAAACTGGCCCGGATAGCGAGGGCAGGTTTCCCAGAGACAGCCGGGGCATCCACTTAGGTCGCTTCTTGAGGCGGGTGTGGTGACACTTCCAGCACGATTGTCCCCGAGCTCTCTGCGGCCGACCTGAAGTGCAGCCACGGCAGGGGTCAAGGCCCGCGGTGCGGCATGCGGCCATCTTGGCGGCCCGGCCGGGACCAACCCTGCTCACCAGATGGGCTTCACATTTCTTGACCCTCGGGCCTGGATGGTTCACCGGATTGGTGCAACCGGGATGATCGCAGGGCTTCACGGCCGGGGCCGGGGCCGGGGCCGGGTTGGGAGGCGGCGCGTGGACGGTCAAGTTATTGCCGCCATTGAAATGGTTGTTGTTAACGCTGCCGCCGTTCGCGTTGCCACCGTTCACGTAGCCGCCATGAACGTTGACGTACATGGGCACGGGTTCGCCGAGTCCCTGCCCCCCCAGCTGTACCGGCGCATTGTAGTGGTGCACATTCTGAACGCCTGCACCAGGCGCAATGGGAGCAGGTGGAATGGCATTGTTGTTTTGGTTGTTATGAGCAGCTTCCTGGGGTTGGGTCTGGACGGCAGGAGACGGGGTGCCGTTCGCCTCCATGTTGCTCTGGCTCTGGAGAAGTGTTAATCAAGGGAATAGAGCCTTGAAGTGAGACATAAAGGCTTACCAGATGATTAAGACCAGGCAATGGCACCTGGCCGGCGGAGAAATGGGCGTAGAAGTTATCCCAATCCATTGTTACGGGACTGGCTTCCCATCGCTGAGGCTGTAAACGCATTGGTATCAGTGTTTACTACCACTATTGAAACAGCATTCAGTAGAAGTGGACTTACGGTTGAGGATGTTGCTTTGAGTTCTTATGCAGAGTTACAAATACTTGTTGTTACCCTACAATGGCTTGAAGTATTGGGGGTGATGGTGGTTGAAAGCAGGACAAGACTGTGGAAGTTGCGAACATGGAATTTATGGGAAACAAAGAGGGGATCCCACAATGCAATTTTGGGCACAATTCTGGTGATTGCCCGATTTTCGTTCAGGCTTACACAGACTAGGTCCCATTCACCGTCTACCCGTCAGGTTTCCTTTGCTCAAAGCTGGTCCATGGCTCCCTTTCGATCATGAACCAGGTTTGGATCTTGAGTCGTTATCAGTGCTGATGTGGATGCTTATCGGCCTTTCCAATGAACATGACCCTTACACCCTCGACGAATGAAATCGTGACAAAAACTGGATCATCGCTTACAAGGCTGGTGAGGCTTACATATTTGGAGAAATAAGGCTCACGTAAGAAACAAATGTCACATAAGAAACCACTAGTCAAACCGCGCTGGTCCGTCTTCCCCTCAAGCTTCGCATCGTCCTGGTACACCATACGTTACTTAGACCACATCCATGCCCTCTGCCAATCTCCCGAGCTAAAATTCAGGCGTCCTTAACAACCTACCTATTTACCTCACCAGGAAGCCGGGCACCCGTTGTAAAAGCCAAGCCTTTGCAGCCGCTCCTTACAAAAAACATTCGCAGTCGGCTTTGCCGGGTTCCCTCCGCGGGCGGAGGCCGTTGCATCCGGAGCAAAAGTCCTGGCCGGCCGAGGCGGCCTGGTTGAGAGGTTGCCTCCGGGATTGTGGCGGCGGGCTTTCTAAGTGAAACCCGCACTTTCTTGCCTTTACCGTCTGATGAAAGGTTGGCTGAATGCAGCCAGGCTCGTCACAGATCTTTAGATTCGGGTTGTGTATAACGGCGGAAATGGGTTGCTGCGGAACACCATTACTAGGTAAGGTATGCTGAAGGCCGTGGAAGTTGTTGGCTTCGAGCAAGACGTCGTCACTGTCCTAGCTTCGGGTGTTGACGCCCCGGTGTGTTCCAATTTACGCGTCCTCAGCCACCCGATTTGGGCACCGGGAACCTGGGCACCCGTCGCAGACGCCAAAATTCTGGCGCCGGTTCTTGCAAAGACATTCCCAGCAGGACCTGCCGGGAGCGCGACGAGGGCGAAGCCCGTTGCAACCGCTGCAGTATCCCTGCCCGGTTGCAACAGCTTCGACAAGAGCGGCCTCGCGAGACTGAGGAGGCGGATTTTCCATGTGGTCCCGGCATTTGCTGGACCTCTTGGTCTGAGCAAGGGTGGGAAGGTTACAGCCTGGCTCTTTGCACATCCTTTGATGTGCGTTCGGGACAACGGGGGGCGGGGGTGGGAGGGCTAGCACCTGAGGTGCGTCAGGCTCCGGTGATGCAGACGCTGGGATCGCAGCGCCTAAAGGGAACTCCTGTGGGAGCTCCAAATCTTGAACCATGTCATTTCGGAGGTGAGGGTTCTGTCCATGGCCGTCCTAGTAGTCTTGGGGCATATATACATTGGCAATTTGGGACTGCTGATGGTCTCCAGCCGAACCCCCAAGCCAGTCGTCCAGTCCATGATCAAGAAAGGTTTCGTCGAGGTGTGTCTCAATGTTAGGAATGTCGAAGCTACCTTACCTATATATCTGCCAGAATAGAAAGCCCTGGTCTCTTCAACGAGAACAGCGGGCTCCGACGGTGTTGCGAAAAGTAGTCGTTGAGAATGCCATTGGAAGGTGAGGCGTTTGGTACCTCTAGTGGAAGATACCGATCTGGAATATATATACGGTGACGCTGGCCCCAACCTCATTATTTCCCCGCGAACATGGTCCTGGAAAGTGACACTGGGAGATGGCATGCTGGTTCCGTAAGGTGAACGTTGGATCGACTTGTAAGCGTGTCGTTGAAGAAGGACACCCCAACGTTCGGTTTCATGTTCTCAAGTGCTCGGTTTTGGAAAGGCTTGTTCCTTGGAGTTTGGAGCAAGAAGAAAGGTAAGAGAAGAAGGCGGTACCCATGGAACATTAAGAAATTTCAACCCTGAGCTCAAGTGACTTCAGCAGCCGGATCAGCCACTCGGTGTAATAATCTCCAACAACAGGACTGTTCGGAGCCGAAAGGAGACAACAGGAGATAGAGGAATTCATGGAATCATGAATCACCATCAGAATGAGAACACAGGAAAAGACAAAGATCAGACACAGCTGATAATAAGAATGATTGAAATATCCCGAAGCCTCGAACCCGCTTACCACCAGATTCGGTGCAAACGGCTAACCCGAATCCCTGTTACATACCTTGCCGAATCCCCATGTTCCAACTGCCAACGGTAATAACACCCACCGTGGCATACCTAAACCAATACCCATCCTCTGACCGCTGACCCCATGAATGCATCCCTCGCTCCCTTTGATGATACTGTTCGACGTCTCGTCGTGATGGCGTTTGCCATTCCCAATTCTCACCGCCCAATAACTGCTCGTGCCCCTAGATTTGCGGTTGTGGCGGTGCTGATACCGATTAACTTTCCACCACCCTATCCACCCATTCTGTTACTCTCCTGTGCTATTGAAGATTCATGCCTCCTCAACAACCCGATTCGGGCACCTGGAAGCCGGGCAGCCGTTGCAGACGCCCAACCTCCGGCACCGCCCCTTACAAAAACATTCCCAACAGGTCTGGCCGGGTGCCCTCTGTGGATGGAGGCCGTTGCAGCCGCTGCAAAATGTTTCGTCGGCCGTGGCGGCCTGGTCGAGTGCACCCAGGCGAGACTCGGGCATCGAGTTTACTAAATGTTGTCTGCACTTTCCGGCCCTCGCCGTCTGAAAAAGTCTCGGCCGGTTGCAGCCCGGCTCTTTACATCTCTTGATTGATGGACCCTGGGGAGCGGTGGAATTGGTGGCTGTCTGAGGTGCTTCGACGACCGCAGCTGCTTGAGGGGGTTCGACGACCACCGCTTCTTGAGGGGGTTCGACGACCGCCGCTGTTTGAGGAGGCTGGATTTGTTGAGCCTCCGTTGATGCACTTGGGAATTGCCCATAATATCCGTTGGGGCCCGTCAGATAATTTGATTGATCTGGGAAATCTTCCTCCAAGTCGACACCTGGAGAGAGCGGTCTCTCTGGAAGCACCGGTTTGTCCGCAAATCCGAGGTCGTTGCGGAAAAATGATTCTTCGAGCTCCACGCCCACGGACTCTTCCCAGTCGCTCTGGCCGAACTGATGGTTCGACAATAATCCTCGGCTGGGAGACAAAGGGCCCTTGCTGGGCAGCAGGTCCTCTGGTGTCACAGACATGTTCCAGATGTGGTCGAGGAGATCTGGAGCAGGAAACTGGTTGTTATCCAACGTCAACGGTAACCGGTGGAACTTGAGATTTTGGGAGACATCGTCGCGATCCTGTAGCCAATTCTTTTGGGTTGCAGGGTCCAGGACCGAATGGTGTTGATTCAGGTGATTTGTATTATAGGGAGGTGCGTGGGCCACAAGCTGGTGGTCTTGGTGTAGATTGTATCCGTCAAAGTGGCCGTGGTGAAGAGGAATATAACTCTGAAAATTGTTGCCAGGATGGAGGAGATTGTTGAACTATACGGAGGAGGTGATTACGTGAGACGACGAATGTGGTAGTGAATATCTTAATTGATTAAAGAGAGAGAAAGAGTAAAGGGAAAAGGAGGATAAAGTCCGATTTATATATAGGGTAAGTATGTGTGGATCGTATCCACTTGTGCCAAGAATGCTAAGAATTAGTAATGGCTTTAATATTCCCCCTCGATCCAAATATAGATTGCCCTATAATGAGAAAATAGGTGGAAAAAGGCCGAAAACGGTAAAAGTAAGGTTATTTATAAATATTTCTCTTTCGCCTAATACAGTTAGTATTAGTAAAATCTAGCAGGAAAAAGGATTACCGCCGTGAGGGTTGATATAAGGACGGTAATATAATAATAAGTGTAATAAGTTTTAAAAATAAAAATAAAAAAGTAAAAGATGAAAAATGTAAGAACTTTTAATATAGAGGTCATAAAACTATATAAACGATATTAATCGATTTTTAAAATTTCCTATACTGGGGAATATTATAGAAGTTAGAAAGTTACAACTTAGGCTATTAATATATATATATATTTGGTTAGGGGGAGTAGGATCTATAGGTAAAGGATTAATTCAGTATAGAAATAATAAAAGATGAAAAAGTAGTATAGTAATTAATTATTATGTATAAAAGGTTTAATAAATATATATGTACGGGAAAATAGGTAGTTAGGTACTAAAAAAGTATTAATAAGTTTTTAATAGTAATAATAAAGTAGAAGGTTTTAATAATTTTAATATTTAATAATACTACTAAAAAAAATTTTAGGGTAGAATTTTTATAAACATATTAGTAATTTATTTTTTAGTAGCTATATATTGGAAGTTTACGTTCTTAATAGTTTACGCTTCCTTGTATTATATTTTTTAAATATTCATATATTTCATATAGGAGTAGTATTATAGGTTCTTCGTTAGAATTATAGCACTTCAATTATTATAGTAAATAATAGCAATAGAATTAATTATAAAGAATAAATTTAATAATAGTTTTTTAAGCTAAATCCTCTTTTTAGTTATTTATATTTATATTATAATTTTTACTTCGTAAAATGTTAAGGTGACGGTTTATTAGCGTTTAGATTATTAATTAATAGTTGCGCTATTAATATAGAATATATCATTACTTATAGAGCGTTTAGTAGAAGTATTATCGCTTTAATTAGTATTTGAATAATTGGTAAGGATGATAGAAGATAGGCTAGAGTAAGTGACGTAAAAGGTATAAATATTATAAAGGTATTTAAAAATACATTTACAGTTAATATATAGGTTAGGGTTAATTTAGCGAAATATCAGTTATAAAAGGATATTACGAAAGCGATATCCGGACGTATATTAAATATTATACATATAAAGGAACTAATAGTATTAATATACTAATATTTATTAGTATCGTAAGTTTTAAAATCGTTAATAGGCTTGGGGATTTTATAAGTATCTATAGGGGTAGAAATAGTATTATAGTTTAATATATTAAAATTACTAAACATTTTTTTGAAGTAGGCCTTTGAATTAAATTTGAAGGTACGATTTAACTTATTGTAAACTATAATTATATTTAAATAATACAAATATAGACTTATATTAGTTATTTTGAATCGTTTATTAAGGGTATTTTTTAGGGCTTGAATATTAGATTTAAATAGGCTAGTAATAATTAGATTATTAATATGGATGGTAATATAAATAGTACTTTTATTAAAAATACTTTTATCAGCGGGTACCGTGGTAAAGCCGAGCCCGTAGAGGAACGTAGTAAATATATTATATTAAATACGTAGATTCTATTTTAAATTATAGAATGTTCGATTTAATTTATATATTAGAATTTCATTATTATTGATAATATTGGGGGATTATTCTACGTAAATTTCTTTTTTAATTAAATTATAAAAAAAGTAGTTTAGACGTTTATTTCTTTTAGTTCTAAATTAAGGATAGCGGCGATTAAATTATTAGTATTACTCAGTCTTCTAATCTTCGACTTTCTCATAGTATTTCTATTCGGGGATACTAGGGCAATAGATAAGGGGGTTAGGATTATTAATAACGTCGTACTTAGAATACGTGGCAATATAAGTAGTAAGGGCGTAGTACTAAATAATATAATTATCGCCTCCGTTAACGAAAATTAGGAGGACAATAATTTTATTAAGGTCTTTATTAAGTATAATTGCAATTTAGATATTTGGCGGGGCCGGGTATTAAAACGCAGTAACAAAGAAGCGGGAGCTAAAGCAAAAGGAGGAGCGGAAAGAGGAATACTAAACTTTAAGTAAGGCCCGAAAGAATAATAATAGAAGATTATAGTAAAGGTGCAGTAAAAGTTGAATTTTAGAAAGATTTGTAAAAGATTTAGGGTGCAATAGAAATATCTTCTAAAAAATAAATAAAATCGCAAAATTTAAAATACTAGCGGGTAAACAATGATTTTATAGGGCGCGGCCGGAGGTTATACCGATATACTTTATAATTTTATTGAAAATATTATATAGGGTAATTGTGACGAGCCGTAAATATAAATATAAATATCCGACCTATTAAGGGATTTATAAATTATTACGAAGCAAGGTAGTAGCAAAATAATAAATATTATAACCGGCGAAGCAACGGTGATAGCAGAATATATAAAATACTAATTAAATAGCGAGAACGGGCGAAAGCAGTCTTTATTCAGTAAATTACGCTTCTGTTAATATGAAAGTAAATAAAATTTTATAATACGTTAGCAATGGAACGATTTTAATAAAGAAAATTTTCGTAAAATATAATAGATTCTGTAATAGTAAAATATTAGAAAAAATCTAGTATATTTATAACGTAGTAAAATATCCCCGCGTTTTAAATTACTAAGGTTTTTCCTATACGTATAGTACATAGGGTAATCTATACGCATAGTCTATACGAGCACAAACTATATATATAACAGCTATAATCGATAGCAATATTTATACTTAGTAAAAAGCGTAATCCTTTTAAAATGCGAATAATATCTTTTTTCTCAAAGAGAAAAAAGGTAATAAAGGGGGAAAAAGGGAAAGAAGGAGGGGTAGGTAAAAATTGTAAACTTGACTATTATTTACGGAACATATAGTATGTCCAGGCTTATAACCTATTAAACTATATAGAGGAGGTGATTACGTAAGACGACGAATGTAGTAGTGAATATCTTAATTAATTGAAGAGAGAGAAAGAATAAAGGGAAAAGGAAGATAAAGTCCGACTTATATACAGGGTAAGCATGTGTGGATCGTATCCACTTGTGCCAAGAATGCCAAGAACTGGTGATGGCTTCAACAGAGATCCAGATCAACCGCCGGAGATTGGCGAGGTTCACGACGAGGCCGATCCAAGTGGGCGTTGTCGCCTACGGGGGAACCATTGGTGAATGTGCCGGGGCTCTGTGACAGATGACTGAGACCGCGATGCTTGGAAGGATGAGTGCCACTCCGAGACTTGTTTCCAGGATGGATAATAGAGGTATCCATATGCAGCGCCGAAGATTGGTGAGAATGACGGAGAGGCAAATCCAAGGGAGAGTTGTCGCCTTTGATGGAACCATTGGAATAACCAGGACGGAGGATATCCATATCCAGCTCCGAAGATTGGTGAGTTTGACGGCGAAACCAATCCAAGGGAGAGTTGTCGCGCTTGAGGGAACCATTTGAGAATGCAGCGGGGCTCTTTGGCGGGTAACTGTGGTCGTGGAAACTGGGAGAGAGAATGCGACTCTGAGGATAGTTGCCAGGACGGACAATGTCCTGATATGGCGTCGAAGGCTTTTGGGGTTGGCGGAGAGGGCAATCTAGGGGAGACTTGCCGCATTTGATGGAGCCATTGGAGAATGCAGCGGGTCTCTGTCGCCGATAATTGTGGTCGTGGTGGCTGGGAGAGTACATGCTAGTCTGAAAATGATTACTACCTCTAGAACGGAGAATGTCCTGATACCCCGTCGAGGCCTTTTGAGGTTGGCTAGGAGACTGATCCAGGAAAGTGTTGTCGCCTAAGGGAGTACCATTGTGAAAGGGACTGGGGTGAGGAGGGCAATAGTTAGAATGAGGGTAGTGAGGAGGAAGTTCTGAACGATGAACTTCTTCCTCCACGAGTCCATTAAGCCTCCGTCTTTTTCGGCTATGAGACGCACCGTCGCCGTCGGGGCGCGTGAACTCCATCTTGATGTTGGAAAACGAGGAGAAGAATGGTTGTTCCAGAGAGCTGCTGGCGTTTTGACCGATACTTTACCTTCCTGTTAGTAGAGAAGCTTCCCCTAGAAGTTTTGAACATGAAAAAGGAGAAGAGAGAATGGGAGAGTGGTATCCGTCATGATTTAAACAACTCTGCTTCAAAAATTCGGAATATTTGCACTTCTTGAAGAAAGATCGGACAAGAGATTTGATGCAGCTTTTTCGGTGAATGGGTCTCTGTGGTAATAGTTTACCAGGTGCAATGGATGGTGTGAATGTTAAATCAAGGTCCGAATCAGAGTTCTCGAGGTTATTGCTCCACTTCCGTCCTTTCATCCCTTCTGTGTCGTCCATTTGTCAAACGCCTTAATTTGTCGCCAACTCCATGGTCAAGATGACTTCAAACTTGGCGTTTTCGAAGCTGAATGGGTTGCTTTAAAAGAATTCGAAGTAAAATATATACGTGACTGAAGAGCCGCTCCTATTGACCCGAGAACGCCCTCAGAAATCATGAAATTCGCTGGAAGTTGGAATGTCCAACATCCTACGGCAAGAAAAATCAGGTAGACATGTGCCAATCCCTTCATCCTGTATCGCTCAGTGTAATGTTACTGGGGCTAAGAACGTGAGGCAATGTGTAACTCCAAAGGTTTAACTCCGTAGTCGAGGTGAGGAGGGATAAGCAGACGAGAAAGACGAGAGACTGGACACAGAATAACAAACGTTAACGATCTTCAGGTATCGGAGTACTGAAAAATGACAAACAAACAGATGGATAGTCGACAATCAACGCATTCGGAACTTCGCCTGAAACCTTCAACTCGTGCCGGATGAAGAATCGTCCGATGTCATTCGAGAACCAAATCTGAAACCCCGTTTGTGGTGAATAGAAGGGCGTATGGCAACAATTGGCACCAGTTCCCAGTAGATCGGAGGAAATTTGAGAAACTCGAGAAACTCCCACGAAGAAAGCTAGCTCGCTAACGCTTCGGTCCCGAAAACGCATCTGCTGCACCCTGATCATGTGCATGCACAATCGTCTTGGAGACGAAGCAGTCGCAGCGCATCTCCAGCTGCAACTCCTTCCTGCCCTCCGGTTATCTGTCCGCCCAGACGAGGAAGATCTGGGGTGCAGTTTCCGTTCCGCTGGTCATCAGTGGATCTGCGGGTTCCCGTCGCATCCGTTTGTGAGACAAACAGACCTTTACGCCAAGACCGAAGTCAGACAAGATAAGATTTATGGACGTGCCCTGTCAGCCTGCGCGGGAGGCATTTCTTGTAGGATTTTTGGCAAACGGCGGAAATTGTTAGCGACTACAACACATCAGTGGTCCAAAAGTGGTCTCGGCAAAAAAGTCCGCTCCTCTAGGTCAATTGGATGGTTTCGAGTTTCTTCGTCCTCTTTCACAAACCCTCGTTGTCTCCTACCTCATCTTCTGCTCGATCCCATCGTCACCAAGTCGTGTATGTCCTCTCATCAGGGGACAGTTTTCTTCTGCAGGCCATCCCTGCCATGTTCCCGAAATACAGCCAATGAAAAAGGTTCAGCTTGACAGAAAGGGAAAGTGAGACAGGGTTCTTGCCAAACCGAGAGCCTCTTTGGCGCCTTCCCCACAGTAGACGACATGCCATGAGCGACACCGATTGACCCCAAAAGATCATGGGTGTCGGGCGCAAGGACGACCGTATCGGAGATCAAAAAGAACAGAAATAGAAAAAATTCCCGGGGGAAGAAGAATGGGAGCTTCGTCGTATAGTGACCACGCTTTCCTCCAAGTTGATATGATCTCGGATTGTCGAGTCGTGCGCAATTGGCACAAACAGAAGCAGCGACCCTCCAGAGGCAATCGCACCGCAATTTGGCGTCTAACCAATCGCCGTTCATCGTGCTTTCCAACTTCTGGAGATATGTCTTGCATGTCCCCACGGTCATTACTTCCTTCCTGACTTGTCCCCTCAACTAGTTCCCCTGCTCGCGATGATGGCTTTCTGCGGGTTCCTCTTTCCTTCGGGTATGCTGCTCAAGATCTTCGCAGCAGCCGCTCGAACTGTGATGGACATGTGCTTGGCAATTCCTTTGCAGGATTAGAGGATCATGAGCAGCCCCGCGAGAAGAAGCACCCCCGCACGCATGCAGCAGATCTACGCATGCGTGGTCAAACTTGCCCTCGTCTTTTGCCCGGCAAATCAGGTGCAGCTGTGCATGGCCATCAAGTCCGTTGACTCAGACATCGCTATTCCTTGAATCCACGTACATGACATTCATCAGTCAAGTAGGTGTTTGAACTGAGGGATATCCTCCCCACCCCTCCTTCTTCCTTTCTCTTCCTGTTTCCTTGGCCAGCCAATTTCCCTCACATCTTCGCTCTTGCTCTTCATCCAGCCGTAGACCGTGATGACTGACTTCCCTCGCCGACTTCTCGACCACTGTTCTTTCAACCATTGGCGGCAACAACGTCCCGCCCATCGCTCCTTCTACGAATCAAGAGCTGTCTTCGCACCATCCTGTCGATCCCGGCCAATCTCCTTCGTGAGCTCCTGCCTTGCTCTCTCACGAGTCAACCCGCAGTTGCGTCCGAGGGGGCCACTGCGTCCTCTTGCCTCTTGACGTAAATGTCGGCACATTCGATCCCCTGAGATGGATGCTTTCCGAGAAATGACCACGCCGGCCATTCAAGAGGGACTGGTTTTCCGTACGCATCGAACATCCCAGGACGTCTTCTTCTTCTATGAGCAATATGTTGTACATCGAACCCGCACGTCGGAATGGCGTAAAATCCACACTCGCCGAGCTGTGTTTCCTAACAACGCGGACCGACACGGGGATTTTCGTGTTTTTCCATTATTCACAATCGTATGCGCCGATGTGGAAAGCGCTCCCGCTGTGACGATTGGTCTCAGAACCAGTTTCGCTGAACCGGTCAGGACGCTCGTCGGCTCTGTCTTATATCGTTTTTCGGCTCCCTCTCTCCTGTGAGTGTTTCGCTGTCAACCTAGCGAGTCATGTTAGCAAGCATACCTCCAAGATGATGAGTAACTACTGGCAGAACTGGTGAGTACCACTTCTTCTTGACACGAAACTCGCAATCATACTCGTTAGCATGACACAGAGGAGGGAGACGCACAAATATATAACCCTACTATGAAGGAAGGCTTGACAATGACGATGCGACCAGCTCAGCGAGCAGAAGCCGAAAAGCGAAGACCAGTCATCGAATGGCGCCGCCATTGCCAAAGACAACAAAGAGGCTCGTGACGCAGGCCGTCCAGCGAATCCTATAAGTATATCTGTCAAGCTTGTCGTTGCAAGCCGACAGTGCTTCTGCTCTGAGAATGAGGAAGAGAGACTGACTTTCTGATCGGATCGGCTTGCGACAAGCCTACGCAAGCGACCGCGCTGACTCTGCAAAAGGCGCCGCTCCTATTCCTCATTCCTCAAGCAAAGCTTCGAGGTTGTCCCGCTCTCCCATCATCACTTCCACCTTCTGCTTATCGTTCAATTTGTCCCAATTCTTCGCCATCCCCACTCCGTCGACGGCCGTGTTCAGAATCGGATTCAGCATCGCATTCCTACGCTGGGCGGCTGGCCGCGTGCAAATAACCATGTTCGCTCGCTGAGGTCTCGCCGCCACGGAATCTGCGTGCCTCTCCTCGCAAAGCTCGCCCATTCTCTCTTGCTCGAACCAGCCTCTACATCTTCTAGCATATCACAGTTGCTTCGCTTTGACAGCAGCACAACGACGTTGTCCGCTGCCGATATAGACGGTATTTGACGGTTTCGTGAAGCATGCCATACTTTTGCGGAACTCCAGGGTCGCGTTGGCCTGATGACACTTCATGTATGTGGACGTTCTTCTCGTATGGGCCGGCGCCGTATCAATTAACGATGGCCTCGGGGGCACAGGAGTTCCCTAGGCGGTGGGAGTTGAGCATCACTGAAACTTCAGCACCTTCGCAACGAGGCCCGGGCCGGTATCGTCGGGTATATCTCCGGTAATCGTGGCTATTCCATCGACAAGTGGACGGATGGGTATACTTCGAGCGGTACTCGCAGGAGGAGCCGGGCTGTACGCTTCGCGGTAGGTGGTTGAGGGCTACGTTTATCTGTGATCTTGATCGGTCAGCGCGCCACGAATACTGACTAAGGATCAGCGACCCTTTTCGCTAGATGCGATCCTCATACTTGCCTAGTTTTTGTCACAGTGGAAGTGAGTAGCTTCCTGATTTCTTGCCCGCGGCGCTGCTGTCAGGAAGAGTGACGGGATATCCATTCTCTCGCCAGCGTTCGTCACTACGTGCTGCACGCGCGTGACGGGACATGCGGCTTCCTAGCGACCGGATGGTTCCTGCGTTGTCAAGCCGAAAATACCACCTCGAGAGCTTCTTGCATGCCGGACGGCATTGCGGCACAGTAAGGGGGTGTCTTCCCCGAGAAAGCGAGGCCATTCAGAGTGTAGTGAGTGCGGGCGTGTGCCGTGCGGGCAATGGCCCCGTCATTTGGCACTGTGAGCTGGCGGGCGTTCCCTTCGTGGCCTAGATGACCGCTGAAAGAGAGCCGACTTACAGCGGGTGTAAGATTGGTGCCGTTAACGGGGTATGCTCCCTTTTTGCGAGAGGTACTTATCACACTACCCAATCTGCTGCTAACCGCGTGTACCTTTCGCAACAAATTTTAGCACATGTTATAAGTATGACGCCCGAGGTCTAACTGTCTAGCCTACCTACCTTAGGTACCAGGGGCAAGCTCTAGTGCACCCGGCGCTATCCGATGCCCAGACCTGCACGGTGCACACACCGTTTGACTGTCTCACAAATTCCGGCCCGCTCACATGTTGCATTCTCATCATCGTTTCGGAAGGTCCAGGTTCAATACCCGCGTGTCTCCATTCGTTCTCGGGCATTTTTGTTCTCTCTCTGTCTCTATTGCTTCAAGTTTCTATGTTTCTTCCCTCTCCCCTTTCTTTTCTCCTTTTTTTCCTCCTTTTCTCCTTCTTTTTTCTTTCTTTTTTCTTTTTCTTTTTCTCTTTCTTTTCTTTTCATTTTCTCTTTCATTTTTTTTTCAACATTCGGTAACACATCAAACTTTTCCCGTTTCTGATATCACCAGCAATGGAGATGTGCTATGATACTGGCCTGTATTATAAAGTTGCCTTCTCTCGACATGTTCTTGTTTGGTATCAGGAGCACGGTACCCGATGTATGATATCCCAGGGCTCTCGTCGAATTCCGAAAGGCCCTGGTGACCGCTTTTGAGCGATGTGTTTTGACCAGCTTGGCGTTCATCTTCAGTCGCGTTGCCCAGCTCCCCGGCCAGGTCGAGGGCTTGGCACCCACGTTTTTGGATGACCTTCCAAAGGCGAACGTCACTGCTCCTCTCAAAATAATCCTCTTGTTATGATACAAGCATCTGGCGCTCACTTGCCTTCCATTTCAACGCAAGTTCGCTTTTGACTTCCAAAGTCGCTGCTTGCGCCGAGGTCCAGCCCCCTCCTCGTTCGTTTTGTTTGTTTTCCCTCTCCCATCCTCCTCACGCAGACCGCCACTTGCGCGTCAGCAGCCATTCGGCATTTCAGCTACCCCTCAAAGCGCCCACTTCTCGCCATATCAAAGCCAAAAGGAAAATCTCACCGTGAAGGCCTACGAACAAAGTGGGAGTTGTTTATCGCAAAGAGCGCATCACGTTCTGCAAGCAATCAGCGAGTCAACTTGGGAATCCAACTCCTTCGTCAGAGCCGTCCAACCGGGCGGAAATACCATCCCGTTCATATCAAATAGTAGGTACTTCTCGCCCAAAGACCGCAGCAATGGCAACTAACCAGTCTGCTGGTGGTTAGCACCACCTCAGTCAATTCGCAAAACCGACAACCACAACCATCAGAGACGCTTGAGGTTCTATTCGACCTCTCCAATAGCCCACCATGGGCGACCAACATCCTGCTCCTGGCAGCCATCGACAGCCCGCATCAGAGGGGCATTGTCGCAGCCAAAGCACATCAGCCGAACAGCACTCACGCTTTTTTGACCAAGAATACTTCTCAGATTGGGCACAGCCGCCAAACATGTCTTTGGCTGATCCCCCACAATATGGCTGGGACGAGGATGGCTGGGGTGTCGGCGGTAATTCGGTTCCCCTGCCCCACAACAACCAAGATGAGCCGCGAGCCGTAGAGCCTTTCCCTTCAGTCTCTCAGCCCACCCATTATGAGCAGCAATGGTCCGTCGCATCTTATCCCAGTCCCCCCGTCGACCACAAACAGTTACATGCAGAGATTGCTCCCACTCCTTCCCCCATCCCCTACAATCACCATTCGGAGCAAGAGCCTGATGCCGCTTCCTATCCCACTGCCACTTCCTATCCCACTCCCCCTTCCTATCCCACTGCCCCTTCCTATCCCAGCCCTCCCAATCATTCTCAATCGCCGCAGCTCGCCGCCGCCGCCGCCGCCCCTGTGGCATCTCTGCCGGCTGCCACTCGCCCTCCTCTTCAGGTCCCTTACCCTGACAAGACCTGTTCAATCTGCCACACCAATTTTGTGTGGAAGAAGACAGCGGACCGCTGCTTTGGCTGTTGCAGAAATAAGCCGGGCCCCAAAAAGATTGCCGCTGTTATCGAGCGTGCTGCTCGTGGCATCGATAGTTGTAGCACCTGTTATGGTGAGGCTGATAGGGGCGATAATCAGCTCTGCACTCTCTGCTACGGGCGTCAGAAGGGCAAGAACGAGAGGCATGCTGCAAAGGTCAGAGCGAGAAAGGCACGGGAGGACGCTGAAGCCATCTTCAAGGGACTCGGTATTGCCTTCGATCAAGCTGGTCAACCTCAAGCTGGTAATCCGGAGCCAGCTGTTGAATCTCCAGGTGTCGAAACTCCATCTGTCGAAACGCCGGATATCGCATCCCCGGCTATCGAATCTCAGGCTATCGAATCCCAGGCTGTCGAATCTCGGGCTGTCCGCCCGTCAGAAGTTGGGTTTCACACGGGATTTGGAGGTGTCTTGCTTAGCGGATGGGAAGCGTTTTCCGAGAGCCAAGAAGAAGCGGCTTCATACGAAGCTTGAGATCCCACGGAAGTTGAACAGCAAAGTGACGGCAAGTCCGCAAAGGGGAAAAGGTCCGAAAAGAGTTGTTGGTGAGCAAAGTTGTCACCAGACCACGCAGGCAGGAGTGAGGAGGCTGGTTTTAGGCTTGAGTGGAAGGACTGTTTGAAAGGGGTCTTCAAATGCTTTGCAAACATGCACAGCTGCATGTTTACTCCTAGCAAGCACTACGATTGTTGAGTTCTGTTTGGTTTCATTTTCGCAATTCAAGATTTTCCTTTATTCGCCTTCTAAGAACAACAGTTTGTTCTGACGGTACTAGGTGCTACATATAAACACTCTAGTATCATGTCCCTCATGGTTTTCCGTTAAAGCTGTTGCGTTCTCCTTGTCTATATGTCCATTATCTACACCCGAGCTTCTGTGGATGAAGGGTTGCAACTCGCCATCCCTCCTCGTCTAGAACAAAGGGCTCTCTCATTTGACATATATCAGTAAAGCCAATTGACAACGGATGTGTGACATGCTGATCAGCTTCCTGAAGCTATTCAGTCATGGTGAATATGGCTCTTGTACGCGCTTCGACGCCAAGTCGTTTTAGGTATACACCACGAAGCGTCAAAGCCGACGCGTCGAGCATTGATCCGACGGGCTTTGTTCAAGATCAGATAATACCCCACAGAATTGCCCAAGTTGACAACACTGGACGATGATGGTGCCCAAGGCATCACCCCTCAATCAATGCTGTTGTCTTGTTCCCAACACCCGGCCTGGGGAAAGCCCTTCTGAAGTTCCAGGTCTGCGGTCTTGGCATTGCTCCCCAGTCTCCACATGCCTCGACGGCATTTGGGAGCAAGCGCCACTGGTGCTCTTTCCAATTTCTCTGCTACTTCGCTTCCAAACTGGAAAGTCGCAACTTGCGCCAGGCCCCATCACCTTCCCCTCGTCGTTCTTTTCCTGCTGAATATTGCCATCAGCAGACGAGACATCATCTACCTGCCCCGCTTCATTTCCTACTCCTTCCTTCCGCCTCATGAAACATCCCCAGGCCTGATCCAAGACCGTGACCTGGTCAAATCACTTCCTCAAAAGAGCCCGTTCTCCATCAAACTGCGCGGGTCATCTCGACTTCTCAGCATTCGATCATCAACATCAAGCCTCCATACAGCAGGTACTGCAAAGAAAGTAGCGCCATATCAAACATCGACCATGGAGTCAGCACACCAGATGACACTTTTCGAAATCCTCCCAAAGGAGGATCACCATCTGATAGATGGCGCCATGAGGCGATACAACGACGAGCGCGGAGTCCTAGGCCCTCTAAAAGCTGCCCAGAACTTCTTTGCCGTCTTTCCTACATTAGCTTCTCTCAAGTGGTCCGACAACGATGTTGCCTTTGCCGAAGCTCGGCGCGATCTGGTAATTCAGAACGCTACCAACAAGCCTACTGCCATCCTCCAGACACCACTTCCAAACCCTGTTCAACAGGGTACGAACCATCGTACTACTCTTGAAGAGCCGCCAGTCCAGCCAGTAACTTCCAAGGGCAGCACCAAGTCAGCACATGTCCAGGAGCATCCCATGATAGATCAGTCGACTTTTCCTCGTCACCAATCCGCTACGGAGGCATTCTCTTACCTCCCATCCCCCTCAGTTTCGCAGCAGTTTGTTTCGACCTCGCCACAGAAGACCCCTCCGGCACACAACACCATCGACGGAGATGGTACTCATTGTCAACATGACCAAGTTGTCGCTCACAATTCCAGCAATCCGTCAAACCACCCGGTTCCCCAGCGATCCAACATTCCGCAACGTCGTCTTGGCCCAAAGGAGCATATGCCGATCCAGAACTATTTGGATCATTACCACGCAGGATTTACCCCTTTTCACCCATCTCCGTCCCAGAAGGTTACCGCCCAAAACGGCAACAATTCTTCACAGTCGCATGCCCTCCACACACCCTCTCCTTCCCCTGAGCCCACTGCCGCCGGCGAAGCCACACCCCTCGAGATACCCTACCTGGGAAAGATGTGCGAAATCTGCGGAGACGACTTCGTGTGGAAGAAGACGGCCACACGCTGCTTCAAGTGCTTACAAAACCCTCCAAGCAACCAGAAGATTGCGGAGATATTTCTGCGGGCTATGCGCGGTATCGACAGTTGCAGCAACTGTTACGGTGAAGCGGACCGGGGCGACAACATGCACACTGTCACGAGAGGCAGAAACTAAAGACCAAGAGACATGCAGCCAAGGTGAAGGCCAGGAAGGCTCGTCAAGCGACTGAGGCGCCGCCGACTGTAGTGGAGGCTGGTGCTCACCCGCAGACCGTGCAACAGGCGAACCATCAGGAGCACCACTATCAGCACCACCAGAGCGATCCGCAGCACCAGAACTATCCGCAGCAGCAGAGCTATCCGCAGCACCAGAGCTATCCGCAGCACCAGAGCTATCCGCAGCACCAGAGCTATCCGCAGCAGCAGAGCTATCCGCAGCAGCACAGCGATCCGCAGTAGACTGCTCAATCTCAGGGTGCCGGAGGACGAGTAGAATGGCTTCTTCCAAGATTAAGCCGGGATGTTTGAGACCAGTCTTAAACTCGAGGAAATGTTGGAGGTTGACAAGTTGGGCCAGGGTCAGAAGGGGTTCAGGTAGACGAAGTTATCGTCCGCTGAGCTTGGCGAAATGGAAAGAGGGACGGATCTGGTTCAAAGTTTGGAGGATGGAGGCATTCCCCTTTGGCTTCGAAGTCCTTGACTACCTCTAGGTACTCATGGGAACACTTTCTGCATGCAGAGCTGCATGTGGTTTTTCTTGCTAGCAAGCGCTACCATTGTTCAGTATTGTATTGTTTGAATTTCACGGATCACACTCTCAAGCTTCACTTTTGCTATTGCCAGAACAAGCGTTCGTTCTGTTAGCATCACCCCAAGGTAGCACGTATAATGAGATGAGTCAGAGAGCGCCTCCCTTGGGATCCTCATCGTGACAAGTGTTGCTTCATTGCTATATACTCCAGTCAAATTCGTTAACCAATACCTGTCTCCCTGGTCATCTCTCTTGCATCTGAATCCCTCGTGCGATATTGATCTGATTTCCCTCCAGGTGGTCCTCGAGCGTTGCATGAGCCCACCAACTGGTATCCCTCCCGGCAATACCCAGCTGTACTCTGGTCATTCTTTCATTCGTCTTTTCAGTCAGCAATTCTCTCATAACGCCCATCGGGGTACCCTTTCCCGTGGAGACTTAGACTCACTGTTCCCCTTGCCTGGCCAAGGGCCGTGCTAGGCGCCTCGCGGCGCAGCACCGACTCCTATCCACGAACCACCCCTCCGAGTCACATATACCGGCGCGATTTGCACAAAATGCAACCTAAACTTCCGTTGGAAGAAAACTGCAGCCCACTGCTTCGAGTTGAACTCTGAACCTACTTCCAACCACTTAGCGTCCCCTACCCACCGCGGCGACGGTAGCCATCCGAGCACGCAGGTTGATCTCCCTATTGCGGTCCAATCGTCCCACTACAAATCGAGCAACACATCCCTCCCAGTTAGTGGACAACAGACAAAAAAAGGAGGCGCCCGCCAACGGCGCCTCGAAGTGCAATGGAGCGGACCAGGTTATACTGGAGCCAATCGATTACGGCATCAAGTGTGGGGAGTGCAAAGTGCGGTCAGTTTGGAAGCGCACCGCGACCCGGTGCTTCGACTGGCTGGAAAACTCGCCCAGCCCGGCGACACGCCAAGAGGTTATCCGTAGGGCTTTACTCGGTATCGGATCTTGTAGCTCTTGCTACAAGGCCGAGGACAATGGCGCCGACCGCCACTGTCTACTTTGCACACAGCGCCAAAGAGACAAGAACGCTCGGCGCAAGGCGCGCAAGGCTAGGGGCGAGACCTGGGCCCCGAAGGGCAGAACCAACGGACGCACCAAGACCTCGAGATCCAAGAAATCTTCTAAGCGCGCTAGCGGTCGAAAGGGTGACGGCCACACGCTGCTTCAAGTGCTTACAAAACCCTCCAAGCGACTAGAAGAGCGGTGGCTCATCAACGAGGTGGAACTGCCGCTGCATCTGGTGTGAAGATCGCGAGTACCCCAACCTACGAACAATCCATACCCTACGGCTCCGTCCCGCAAATAGGCTCGCCGACCGGTACCTCCACCTACGTCAATCAGGCCACTTGCTACGGCCCCGTCGCTCAATTGGGCATTGGAGCAGGAGCACAGAACTACCAGGGCCACGGAGGCGCTGGAGCTCAGAACGAATGGTGGGGAAGGCTCGTTAACGGTAGTATCGTCTTTAAGAACGGCGGTGTTGTCCCCCTGGGTGGTATCGTGAAAACCCCACCTGGACCTCAAGCTGTTTCCACTCGAGGAGGACTCTTCCATGGAGAGGAGCATGGAAATGCTAACCCTGCAGGTGTCGTCAACGGATCATATGTCTTGAACGGTACCTTAGTTATTTCCTGCAGGGCGGCAATGTTGTTCAAGTCGATAACGGTTGTTCACGAAGGCAACGCTTGACTACCTCTTATGAGAGGCACAATGGAAAGAAATCATGACTGGGTATCTCTTGCAAACGTGACGCTAGACAGCCGAGAAAAGTAAGGTGAAAACAACACTGCAACCCGCTAACCCAACTACTCAGGCGTTCTCTGTGCGGAACAGAGCAACAGCCTGGAGCGCATTGATGCGCTGGTTCAAGACCATTGCCTCCGCCTGAGTGGCCGCCAGCTCCCTCTTGGTCGCCGCCAGCTCTGTGTTGGGCTCCACCAACTCTATATTAGTCGCCGCCAACTCTTGCTGGGTGGGACTAATGGTGGACCGGGGAAAACAGGTTTCGGCGAGGACGAAACCCTCAGAGATATCCCGTTCGGTTGCCCGTTTCATAGCATATCTCTCCGGGACTAGCAGCAACTCATTTCTCCAGGTCCGATCTTGACACCTACCTCTAAGGTAATTGAAGATCCCTTTTTCTTTTGCTGTGATAGTTTCACATATTTCTCTTCCTCGTCTTCTCTTCCTCCTTCCTAGTACTCCTCGTCCTGTTGTTTGACTCGCACAGGGATTTTCAATGTCAGAGTGATCGTCCTGGCTGTCTGGTAAGTATGGGTCGTAGTCTAGGATTCCAGGCCTTCCGTCATTCAGGTTCGTTGCAATGAAATTGGAAACATTGGAAGGGGAGTCGCAGATGTGTACCATGATCTGCTCTTGGCGTCGAGGTTCGTTCTTTCATCCGATAAGCTTAGCATCAGCGAAGATGGAGAAAAGAAGAAGACAAGACATCCCCTGAATTCCCAACAACCACAATGACATCATGTCGAGTATATACACCTTCTACTCTCCATTGCTAGTTCCTTTCTGGCCCCCATAATCAGATTCAAGGTTCATTCGAAGACGAGCAGAGTGAATGCTTGAATTCCAGCCGTGCTGCGCAACAGAACCTTCACGACTCGAACATGAGATGGAAGTAACCAACGGGTCAAGTCCCCACTCGGTTCAGGTTGTCCTCTGCTACGGCAGGAGCGGCTCGAAATAACCAATACGTTTATTACAATAGCTTGCGAGTTTCGAAGTCGAAATGGAAGGCACGCCGACCAGTCTGATTGGTCGCGGCCATTTTGCGTTTCGTCATTTGCCCTTATTGCCAGACTACTTAACTTTTCTTTCCGTTACCCGAATTCCTCACCCTTCCGCTCCCTTGCACCTTTTGCAAGTCGCACCCACCTCACAGTCAACGGTGAGTTGTCTTGCAACAACCGCAACACCGCGACCGATCGCAGGCAAAGGAAAACCTCGCGAAGAGCAACACAAGCCAAAGCAGACACATCGCAGTCCGTTCCATCCATCATGACGGAGCGCGACTGGTTGGATGCCTTGCTGGGCGAGTACGGCGGGTTTGACATGCCTCCCGCTTGCCCCTTCGGCCAAGAGGATTATGCCAAGGACGCGGAACAGGATCACGGCGACCTCGCGATAGAGGATACCTACATCTTCGAAGAGTCTCTGGCCACCGCGGCAGAGAAGCCGACCGACGCAACTTTCACGCCCACTGACGCAACCTACAAGCCGAACAACGCTACCTACAAGCCGACCAACGCAGCCCACAAGCCGACCAACGCAACCCACAAGCCGACCAACGCAACCCACAAGCCGACTGACGCGACCGACGTTAAGTGCACCGACAAATCTATTTATCGTTCTGCGGGCGTTCAAACTGAAGGACCGGAGGTGTATAGCGCAACCCTCACCACCGCTACCATCAGCGTAAGTAAAACTGGCCCAAACTGTCGATGTCGCAACCAATTTGCAAGCGCTTTAGGTCACTCCGACTAACAAGCAGGAGGCTGAACAGGTACCTACTAAACACGTTATCCCCAACAGCCCCACCCAAGTTGCCGAACCAGCCAGTTATCACGGCTATATTGCTCCCGACCCTGCAACTGTCGCCCATACCATGTATCCCGACCCTCACATCGTCCGTCCCGCCGTTGAGTCCGGAAGCCAAGGCGCCAAGGAGCCACTCCTGGCTCCGATTGACTACGGCATCCGTTGCGACGAATGCAAGAAGCAGTCAATCTGGCAGCGCGGCGCCGCCCTGTGCTTCGACTGCCTCGGCAATTCGCCCAGCCAAGCCAAACGCCAGGTCATAATCCGCCGTGCTTTGGAGGGAAGACAATCTTGCACCAACTGCCATCACGAAGCAGACAATGGTGCCGGAAAGCATTGTAAAGCCTGCACGGTGCGTCAGGTGAACAAGAACTCTCGTCGCAAGGAGAGGAGGTTGAGCGGCGAGGTCTGGATTCCCAAGTATGTCCAGAGTGGCGGGGTGAAGAAAGCAAAGAAGGCATCCAAACAGGTGCTCAAGTCAAAGATTGCCGCTGTCGCAAAAGGCTCGAAGAGCGAGTAATCTGGCCCCAACCTGAACATCTGCGGGAGCCGGCCTCGCACCGCGACAACATTTGGACGGGGAAATTCATCTGAACAGAACCGAACGTTGTCATTGCGCGCGACGTGGACCGGCTTTAAATCCCTCAGGACGTTGAAGGAAAACGAAGAGCGCCTTCGCAGATTGAGGATGCATGATGCCACACAGAGGTTGCAGAAAGAGAAAGCCGTTCACCGCAATGCGACAATCGTCAGAAGGCTCGGGAGAAGGAAGGGGTGCCATTTCAGGCAGCCGACAAATTCAGCAATCACAGTGGGAATTGATATCCTCTTCCACAAACGCAGATTAAAAGCTGCTTCAAAATATTGCGCCATTGAGGAGCGACACCGCGACGCCGGTAAAGAGGACAAGGGATGCGAAGAAAGGGCGACAATGTCAAGGAGACAACTCGAGCATTGACACATGCATGCGGGCGACGAGTGGAAGGGAGCTGCAGAGGCAAGAGATTTGCATGAAGGATCTCATTGCGTCGAGCAATGCAGCGACAACGTCTTGCAGAATATCTCCGACGTCGGCGAGCAACAGTCTGACGTCCCTGACGAGGACATTGAGGAAGAACACGGCGCCGTTGGAATCCATCCCAGCCTTCCCCAGGATATTGTCGCGGTAGATTTCATGTCTCAGAACGAGCTCGTCGCCGCATTGGAGGTCTTATCTGCCACCGACCTTCCCGCGGAAGCGGTTTGCATTAACGTTGAGATCGTCGAAGCTATCGTGGCGGCGACTGTCACATTCCTCCACCACAATCACACCCAGTGCATCCGGATTGACGAATCGACGGGCCAGCGCTGCACTGCTCACGCCTAGAAGGTGGGAGCAAAGCTGTGCTTCGCTCACTTGCACAATCAACCCGGTATCAACCTCCGTGTTGACATCCTCATCAGACAGGTTCGAGGACACGGAACCTGCTCTGGTTGCTATATCTTGCAAGATGCAGAGAGAGGCATGCTCTGCTTCGAGTGTTGATACAAGAGTGTCTTGCGCACTGAGCGCCGCAAGATCCGCCAGGTGATTGGTTGGTCTCAAGATATCGTCGGCGGACTCCAGCGCTTGCTCGCTGCCCTTGAGCACTAGGTCGACGACACGGTAGTTACTAGTGGAGGAACAAGCAGTAGCAACTATCCTATCACTTTCAACGGTTATTCTACCGACAGCAACTATCCCAGCGGCAGCTGTCAATCGATTCCAGGTTGTCTAAGAAGCTGCACATCGACTCCAAGACCAAGGCGGGGCAGTGGAGGAACGAGACATGACCCGATACCGGAGGAGGGATCATGACAGATTTTGTCACGACAGACTGGGTTGTTGTAAGGGGTACGCGAAGTCACGACGAAGAAGTCTCTTAGCAGTTCCGTATACTATCAATGAGTCGTACCAAGGATGCCCTGTACACAGCGGTGATTTGACTGTAGACGTTTTAGAACTATATACCTCTAGTGACTGACTAGAATACCTCTCAGGTTTGCCATGCTGCCATGGAAGTTCAAGATTTGACTCATCTACCGCGATCATGACTCTTCCATTTGACACACGTTGATGACTCAAATCAACAAGCTTTGCGATCATCCGGATGGTCCTACATCTTCGTTCTATATGAGGATAACGCCTATACTCAAAATGATCCAACGGATAGTCATATGGATTGATTGATTGTACATGTATCAACAGGTGAATTAAGCGGCAGAAGTTTCAGTAATGGGAATCCAAGCCAATCGCGGGTGCTGCCGTAGATTGTGACGATGCCCGGCTCCAAACTATTGCTTTGTTCTGTTCTTGGTTGCCACGAGGCATCCTCTTAGACTGATACCACCCCGTCAAGCTCCTTGTCCATTCAGCAGCGTTTTCTTTGTTGTTCCTTTCATTTTGGGATGTGTTCACTTTACTCGCCGCTTCTCCGGTCATTTTCCCCCAAACTATGGTGGTGGTGTAGTGATAGGATTGCTGTACCTGTTTTAATGAAGAAGTGTCTGGTTACGATGATGGCCTGAAAGACAGCTGGAAATTGATATTCAAGGCTCGTCGTCCAATTATCTCCACTTACCCCTAAACAGTGCATGAATTGGTTGTTCGCTAACATGGCAACGGGGAGTTAGCGACCTTACGGGGTGGTGGTAGGCGTTTCTCTGTTAGCGCATGGCGTCTCCTTGCACGAACCCATGCAGCAAACTTACCCACTGAGGTCACTTCATCGCAAAAGCGGAAGCAAAAGTGGGAATGAAATGAGATATGGTTTGAGAATGGGAACACCTACTTTGCTTACAGCCTTTCTTGTCGTCTTTCATTTCGGAGCATAATGAGACTGCCAAATTGATGAGTGTCCTTGCGCTGGCGGCTTGGCTGGAGTGGGTCCGTTTCATGACCCTGTGGGAATCGTTGCTGCAGGGGCATACAAGGCCGTATAGCGCCTCCCTCGTAGCGGTTGGCACTTTCTTTGATGGGCGGAAGTTGAATTACAATACAATCTGCCAGCTTTTCCCAATTTCATGTATCACGGCGCGGTCCCGTTTCTAAACTAGAACTACCTTTAGTCTCACAAAGTCTGTTCTGACAGAATCATAGACCTCCCGTCCTGTGCTACAGGTCATGATCCCGAGAGGTACATGTACTATATGGGATCAACACTAAAACGACTCCTTGACTGCCTGGCATCATGCCTCGCTCTCTCTCTTTTGGCTCGCCACGAAGATTTATCTATTGCAGGAGTCTGTCGACGCGTCCGATAATCGTGCTTGGAGGTATGTACATGAGCCGGGCTCCTCGACGTCGTGACCTCATTCGAGAGGTTAGCACAAATGACAATAATTGCCATTCTCACACACCACCCGTCCGAGCCTTCCCCAGCTGCGACACATGAAGGCCTGCAGCTCATCTACTAATTCAGATCAGCATGCTTTCTCTTGCCCCTTCCCTCGTTCCTCAGTTCCAGGTTGTCCTTGCCCATATCCACGCATTCCTGGCAAAGGCCGCCACCCGGGCGAGCATCGTTCCGATAACACTTTGAACAAGGGTCGATACCGGCGGCTACGCGACTCTCCATGCTAGCTCGAAGTTCAGCATTGGGAGCGTTGGCCAAACAGTTTATGCACTGAGTGGCGCTTTTCTTCCAGGTCCGGCGTGCAGGCGTGTTCTTGCATGGATGATGAATCCCATGCTTGCGGTAGCCTCTACAGATGGGCCAGGGGTCGGCAGCATCGACGGGGGGTGAAGCCGGTGCTAAGATTGGGTTGATGGGCTGCACGTTGTTCGTGTTGATGCCAGCAGTTTGCTCAACAGGCCGTCCGCTATTGATGTGGGTGTTCGAGAGTTGCTCGTGGCCGATGTTTTCATCGTCGGCGAATTCTCTGTTGGGAATGGGTTCATGACTGGATGTAGCGCCAGCAGCGCCCTGGACGTTTGGATGGGCATTCGAAGCCAGGGCTGGCTTCGGTACGAAAGGTTTCAGCTTCGGACCAGGGGCAATATGGCTCTGAGGGTCGCGATATCCGTCGGCGACCGGCGCATGAATGATGTAGGGGGAATCGGCAGAAGGGGGAAGATGAGTGGTAGAGGGAATTTGGGTGATCGTGGTTGACTGTCGTTTGGCCTTGCCGTTGTCTGCGAGGATCTGACCACTCATGTTAGTCGAGTAGTCTTATACACGGATTATCAAGAGAAAACCTCGTTGCTATCGCGTCTGGCGCCATGTACATCCGCCTTCTAAGCGGTGCAACCTGGGGTGCCGCAACGGTAGTAGGATCTCAAGCGGCGTTGTCGCTTGATGTGTCGCTCGATGTGTCGCTTGATGTGTCGCTTGATGTGGCGCTTGATGTCGCTCGGATCTTGAATGCCGATAGCTTCATCGAAGAAGTAAGACATGTTCGCTTCTTCACCTTGGGAAGATTTGAGAGGTACGTAAGCAAAGGAATCAACTTCTGGACTGAATAGAGTACAATGTGCATACCTCGACTGACTCAGTGGCATAGCTGTTCGCAGCAGCAGGCCCCGAATAGACCCAGTTGTCTTCATCTGGGAACCCCAGACCCAAAGGGTCGTTGTGATCCATGATAGTTTGAGTTTTGCGATCTGCCTTTTGCACTTGTCACGAATCGCCGCACCAGCGCAGGTGATATGTGTTTTTGGCGATCCGCTACACAAGGGAGGTAGGGAATGGCTTTAAACACGTCCGAGTTTGACGGATAAGGAGGCAGGAGCTGAGTGGAGCGCAAAGGCTGGTGAAAAAAATTCAACAGTGAAGGAGGTGGTGGCTGGTGTTGAGTCATTCCCATGTTGGCGTTCGTCTCATCTTTGCGATATGAGTGAAAGGATTGGGGATCTGGATGTCTTCTTACCTACTTTGAGCCTGTTGAGCGTTAGCGAGTTTAACCGCTTCCTTATTGGTCCAAGTTGAAGGTTAGGGCCCTTCGACTTCATCTCAGAATCCACGGGGCGCAAGGCTTGCGTCCAACACGTGGTGTATATACACCTACTTCCCTACTAGCTCGGACGTTCGTTTAATTCCAACAGCCACACGCGGCTCAAATCCTATTGCGAGTATCAAGCTTGATATTCTGAATAGGAATCGAGTGGATCCCAGCCCCTTCCCCCAGCCGGGCTGTCGAAACGGACTGGATATTTCCAGCAGGAGTTAAGTCCCTTTCACTGTGGTACACATTGGCCTCGAAAATCCATTGGATCTGATGACGGTTGCTATCAGCCAGCGCGATCCCTCTACATAAGAGGCTGTGTCCTTGGTTTCGTGAATACGACCACCAAACATCCATCTTCTCCGCTCGAGAATAACTGAAGGACTCATTAAAATGGCGGATTACCACGCATCCCAAGCCGTCGAGGGGAACAGTCCCCCATCGTCTCTGGGCAATCAGGCCGTCGCCTCTCAAGTAAGTCAAATCCTCAATATCGATGGTCTCAATATTGCTCCATGCCCTCTAACACCATTTCAACAGTCCGCCAGTGGCAATCAAGCTGATTTGCAAGCCAATGGCAGCATGCCAAATGACGGCAGCGTTATCGGCCCTCAGCCCGGCGTCGCGCACAACCAGGCCGCCGTCGTTGAGCCGCAAGCAGATGTCCACATTCACCCGGATATCCCTCCTCCGACCGAGGATGTGAGGGCCGCCATCATCGCATTGGCCACTTCGAATCTCCCGGTTGAGGTCCAGGCAGTTGATGTAGAAGTCGTGGAGGCCATCATCGCCGTCGTCGCCAGGCTCTTCCACGCTGAAAATGGCCAATGCCGCCATCTTGACGAGGTCACAGGCGAACAGTGTACAGCCCGCAAGTGGAAGGTGGGTGCTCGGAAGTGTATGAGCCACCTCCGAAACCGTCCTTCGGTGGCCAAGCAGGTCGAAATCCTGTTTAGAACCCTTCAAGGCCACGGTACCTGCTCAGGCAATTACGCCTGGAAGGAGACCGACGATGGAACCCTGTGCGACGACTGCGCGGAGAAGAATGCCCTCCGCCGGGAGAGAGCCCAGATGTGAATCTACCTGGGCTGGCTCCAGGATATTGTCGCGCTCCCCATCCCCCCACCCACAGCGTTGCTGCTCCCAGCCAGGGAATTCCGAATGCGCCCCCTATCCCAAGAATGGCCAACAACATGAACCAATCGGTCACAGTCAACGAGAGTCACGATTGTTTAGTCATGAAATTTGACTCATCTTCGCAATCATACTTCCTCCCTCGTGAATGCATTGATGACTGTGAACCTAGCACAAGCTTTACGAGCTGCAAAATGGACACTCATGTCTCCGTGGTATAATACTACCATGCGCGCCTTTCCAACTACTTGCTAGTGAGTGAGAATAACGTAAGTTGTGAGGAGATAAATGAATGAGCTAAGTTTTAAGTGATGAAGATGTGGACTTGATCAATGGGTTTGTTCACCGGGAAGAGCAAGACAGATTCGACCAGGAACGAGTCATTGGGCAAGAGAAATGGCGAGCCGGACCTATTAACGTAGACATGAAACATTGCACTACTCCATTGTCCTACTCTATGTCATTGTTTTGTTCTTTCTATGATTGTCGTCTTTGATCGATCCTTCATTGTCCATCTCAGCGGCGTTTTCCTTTGTCGCGCATAGGACCTCTACGATGGGTCCGATTTGCCCGCACCTTTTCCGGTCATACGTGTCTGTGGTCTTTTGTATGTGTGGAACTAACCCTGGGTTGGCATTATGAGGGGAGAAATGCGGTTTTGCGATGCCGCCCTCCACGACACCTTGAAATAAAACCCCGTCGTCGGGATTGTTTACTTGCCCCTAAGCAGTGCATGAATCGTTATGCGCTAACATTATTTCCGGGCTTTAGTAGTGTTACAGGGCATGGTTAGGGAAGCTGCTGTTAACGAGTGGGGTCTCCATGCATCAACCCCTTGTAGTAAAATTCACCTCCAAGTTCCCATCATTTTCAAAAGGCAAGATCTTGAGAAAAACAATTGTAATGTCAAAGCTCGATTGAGGCACTTGCGTGGCCTAACTCCACGAGCTGACATACATTTTTCATACTTTGAAAGTCGCCAAATTGGTCAGTGTCCCTTGGCAACCTCGGTCCATTTGCCCCTGCTGTGGAAATACTGGCTGCAAGCGCATGCATGGCCGTAGCGCTTTCCTCGTAACGGTTGACACTTTCTTTGATGGGCCACAATTCAATCGCAACACATTTTGGTTCCGGTCACGAAGTCCAACGCATCTGACAAATACTTGTACGCGCTTTATCTCTCCCTTTTCCACTTCTACAGTCGATCATGTCTGCCCAGTCCGTACCTCAATCAACGCTACAACCGACCAAAGACGGGCTTTTTGACCGTTTTGGCGGCATTTCATCTATGTGCACCAGGGTCGTCTTATTTGTGCACCAAACCTTATATGTGCACCAATCGGGTTAGGGCTTAACGTGTACATTATTTTTTTCGAACCTTTAATACCGTCAAACAGTAATCGTACAACACCATTTCGGTATAAGACAGTGCCAAGCCCAGTCGCCCAGTGGACCCCCTTGTGCATGACCTTTATTCTAACTTGGTGATTCTGATGTTGTTGTTGTTTTATTTAACGTCTACTTCCGCCTCCCTAAGTGATACGGGAGGTTAATATGGAGGGTCACACGGATAGGACCGTTGCTTCCATATACCACGATGCCAGGAATGTGCAATACGTAGTATTAAAAGTAAAGAAGAAAGATAATGGAAAAGGAAGGAGGAGGCTGTCCCAGCCAGCCGTCTGCACAGAAAGGATATGCTGTGCGAGAGTCAGAGCACAGGCCACAGGGTGGCCTGAGCACTGCAGTCTGGATGGCCAGACTGGGCATGGCGGCCTCCATGGCAGCCCAGCTAATCTGGGCTGTCATTACTAGTCTAAGCTATAATATAGGAAAGGTAGGGCAATCCAAGGATTACCCTATCACTAAGGGCATGAGACGTGCGGCAGCGGCGCCGTCCTAATCTAGTCTAGTTACAGAAGCACGTGACCCCAAAACCTTCCCAGCCAGAAACCATGCAAATCCGAGCGCAAAATCAAGGCCAGAGGCCGTTAAGTCCCGCGATGCCCATTGCGTCAAACGCGGCACATCGCCTTGGTGATTCTGATCTTTATGCCCAGTTATACCTTTGCCGTTAATATCAACCCTTCTTTTTGCTCTCTCTTTATAGCTACACTACCTTTGATTACCAGAACAGGCTAGAATCGCTCGCACGTACGTAAATATTGATCGTATTAATTACCAGAAGTTTTATGAAGTAGTCGTATGAGTAGACCGCGAGCCAAAACACTATGTAAAGAATCATGAGATTACCCCCATAGTCAGTAGTATACTTAGTTAGTAGTATAGTTATTCCGAAGTGTGTTGATGAATGCTATAGAACTCTCTCATGTTCAAGCATTGTGTGTTATACAATTCTCCATACAAAATTATGTTACTGGACATCGCCGTGATTTTTTTTCATGTACATGTAACGCCATGGAATTTACTATGTAAATGATATTTTAGGTTAAAAAAACGTACCAAGGTCTGTAATATTGGTGCACATATAAGGTATGGTGCATAAATAAGACGACCTTAGTGCACATAGATGAAATGCCGTTTTGGCATCTCATGCTAACCCCAACGGAGGCAACGAACCCGAGCGCCGCGGCGTCCATATCTGACGGTCGGCATGCCGATACGAACGAATGCTCTCGGGATACCGGCCTGGGGACTTCAAGAGCGGCGGCGGACCATGTGAAGCGTGCCTCGGGTACCAGAGTCCGAGCAAAGGAACGAGAAGGAGGGCTACGAAGGGAGGTTGTGGCAGTGAGGCGGGTTGTCAACTGGTGAAGAATGGGATGCAAAACTCGAGGGACCACGACGGGAACCTGTTCAACGAGAACGACTACACGCCTACGACACAGCAAAGAGCTTAAGATCGCGGAACAATACCCGGGGGAATATCCTAAATGCGACACGGAGCATGTCCATAAGGTACCTCTACATGTGCCAGCCTCGATTGCTGTAGGGGAAAGAATCAGCATCAAGCAGCAATTGACACGGGAAATTTCAGAAGGCAGGAAATGGGCTGGACACGGCATTCTGGATCCATCTCGTGGAGCAAAACGGCATAAATTCTTCGCATTTCATTCTATATCTCTCACAATCTTCACACTTCTGCCTACCAGTCGGGTGTTCATTGGCAATCATAGGTTACATATCATAAAATTCGAACATGGAGCGATCGATTTCCCCCAGGCTCGCTGTTCACAGCCGAACAGTACTACAGTTTACGTATAGTTGATTTCACCCGCCCAACTACTGTATGCTGAACACCGCAAGTGAACGAAGAATTATGAAGGAGACCCTGGGGTAAGGGTTTGTCGTATTGTACGTTGTTCTGCTACGTACCAACATCTGAATTCTGAACAACCTCGGAGTGCGGTTGTGAACATTCTTGGTGTTCGGTGGGCTGTGCCGGTTGACGTTAGTTGGACAGTCTATGTGTGGTATAGTTCCTCTGTTCATCTCTGCTCGCCCTCAGGATCGCAAGGCAGTGGATCCGAAGGCTGGCATGGAGTGTCGTTATTCCCATAGTATAAGAAGGCTTTTAGGATTTCCCCCGAGGTAAATTTTTTTCTTACTGTTCCACCATCGAACAGCAAACTCGACTCAACGTCAATCAAGCACAAGCGTCCACGCACACCAAAACACATCACCTCAACACCACCCACCCACTTCGAGACTTCTTCATCATGTCCGACAACACATCCAACAACATGGGCAACTGCCACAATGGAACTGTCCCCACTGCACCCATCGCCCAGAACAATCACGAACAAAAGGCCGACGACACTCATCAGTCATCCATTCCCTCCAACACCGTCTTCAACTTCAACACTCCCATCAACAGGTAAGTCATTCACACCAACAACATGATGCATGTGAAGTAGCAGTCAGCTAACAACCCGCACAGAAACATTCAGGAACAAGTCACTCAGCAACAGGGTCAGGACATTGACATGGCTTCCCCTCCCACCTATCTGAACGACCCCTTCAACCCCATCCACTACCGCCATCTCGCTCGCGACTTGACTCTCGAGGACCTTTTCGGCGACTACCCCGTCGACCTCACGACACCCCTCGACATCAGCTTCTTCAGCAACCCCGCCGTCCGCGAAGCTTTCAAACCCATCAACGAAATCGCCAACCTCCAACAAGTCATCGACGCGGCCGCAGCTGTCCTCGACGCCAACCACGGCCGTTGCCTCCGTGCCATCAGGGGCGTGCAGTGCACTCGCTTCCGCTAGAGGCAGAATGCGAAGTACTGCATCACCCATCTGACGAATCGGCCCGGCCTCGAAATGGAGCTCGAAATCGTTCGTCGCAAAGCCATCGGCTATGGAACTTGCTCCACGGATTTTGCCTGGATGCCCAAGGAAACCGGAAAGCGGTGCGATCGGTGCGCGGAGAGAGAGAGAATCCGCAGGGAGAACCGCGCGTCGGCAACAGCGGCGGAACAGGCTGCCCAACAATCATCCGGCGACGACTCAGTCATGTCGGGACAAGAGAATTCCGGCCTCTGAAAGCCTCAACTGCTACACACGACGACCGATACCATAAATTGTAAGTGACCACATGATCCTTGAACCATCGATAGTAAACTAACAGTGGATGATGATATAGGACGCCAACAGCTTGTCTCTGACTCGACAACTGCACTTCTTCATATTGATTGGTGGAAAGGACGGTCTGAAACTGGGAGGATAACGGGTCTATTTGCCAAGGGCATGCTGGTATTGTCAGATATAGAACATCCACATAGCTTATGATGACCCCAACTTGCCTCTAATACCTTATCTTGATTGCTGTGACTCTGTCCATGTGAACTCGTTCCATATCACTACTATATGAATCTACCACCAGCTAGGAGTAGCGCAAATGATCTCTGGTAGCATCCGTGACCTTACCCGTGAATATCTCAACATCAGATTTACAATATTCTCAATCCTTCCCGTTCACTCGCCATGATTTTGCTCCTGACTTGCGCCGTTCACAGCCTCGTGCTCTTATATAAAACAAATCTATTACAAGGACAATGCAGGTTTCCTTACATACTGCATGTATGTGGCCGTCGATGCCGGAGCTATTGATCTTCACTTTGTGCCAGGTCCTTGTGCGTCACATTTCTTTCAATGACTTGAATCCATTGTTTCAACTGGAACAAACCTCGGTAAACCCAACCTCTCCAAGTTGAAGGACGATGAATAGAGGTAGGGGACAGTCTTTCTGATCACGTAGTGTAAATGCCTTGTAGGTTGGTGGACGTGTATGCTGCGAGATAGGCCGTATCATGAACTATATTTACTCTTTCTACGATTTCCTCTTCTTGTTTTCTCGTTCTCACCCCCTGCCTTCGAGATAACTGTACGCTTACAATATGTCAACACTCGACCGTCATTGCTGAAATCGGTCGTGTCACTACTACAATGGCCCCCGTCTGGATTATATACATCGTTATCCATGCGAGAACTGATACTGTCTGCGGCGCCGGTTGCCTGGTCGACGACAACGGGGACAAGATAAGCTACGATAAGCGCAAGCACGGCCCCTGTGGACAGGGCACAATGCTTTCTTCCTCTTCTAAGCCGTTAGGAATGAACCACATTGACTGTTATTGGCACGGTACTTACCTCTATTCTCCTCTGTAGATCTTCCGGTGAAAGCTCGGGCCAGTATCGAAGCGGCCCAACCTTGAAATTTCACCAACGTACACTCTAATAGTTCCGATTCTAGGTAGTTCTTTCACAGGGACTCTGTTGATTACGGTAACGGCAGTGTGTGGCGGAAACAACCTGGAAAATTTCAAGTATTGGGCGACCACGTGACGCGGAATCAGCTTTTCAGTTCCCCCCCGCCGTCAGACAGCCACTCCTTCCTCCTTCCACCATTTGTGGGTCAATTTCGGATTCATTTGGTCCAGGGTATAGCCTGCGATTTACTGAGCCTTTCAACGCTCCTGCTCCCTTGCACAGCTGTTTTTGCTCTCACCCACACCACGCATAATCCCCATCTTCGACACATTCAGTCAGGAAGGTAAAAGTTATCAGACCCCTTTCACTTGCGCGCTGTACCCACGAGCTCCCAACTGCCGTGCGGCATCCCCTTTTGGGTTTTCGTTGGGGAACGTACCCAAAAGCCCAGTCGCGACGTATCTCGGAGTCTCGTCAATCAGATCCAGTTGCGCGCCAGCATCCCGTATTCATCAATCATCTCAACACAACACCGTCTCGTGGTATGTAAGCCCTATATCTGTTCGCTTCATGAAGAACACCCAATCAATGGACGCAGCTAATCATGATTCAGAATCCATGAGCGCACGATCTTGCCTCCGAGTCTAGTTCCACTTTGCGAAAATGGACTCTCCGGCCAAAAACGATGCTTAGCGTCCTGGCGGCAAGATGGGTGATGGAAACCATCAGTCCGCTCACAGGTTAGTTCCGGTTCATCCTGTCATCACTGGGGACTTTCCCACAACCACATGGCTTCTGACACGGAACACAGCGATCACCAAGGGAACCAACAGGGCTCCCAAGTTCACCAGCAAAGTCCTGGTCAACACGACATTCCCCATCGCGAGAATGTCAACAACTTAGTACCTGTACCCATGAATTTCCCCCAGAACCATCACCAGCAAAATTCTGGCCAACATTGCAACCCCTCTGCCCAAACTGTCGCCAACCCCTCCCGCCAAACTCTCACCAACCCACCCATCAACTTCCCCCAGCACCTTCACCCCGATCCTGGTTTTGACGACATGTATGCCGACGGCCTTTTAGACGATATGCCCGATCATTTTGATCCTCTCCCGGGCCATAATCCCTTGTTTGGCAACAGTCTCTTTGACGACAACAGCCTCTATGTCCCCGGCCATCTTGTGGGACAGCCTCAGCATTATCAACAAGGAGAGCAGTATCTTGCCAACCAGCACCTCTACCAGGATATGATGAGCTACAATGGTGCCCTTTATCAACAGCAACCTCACCCCTTTGGCGCCCAACAATTCCAGGAGCCTGCTATCCCTCAGAATTTCCCCATTCCCAACGGTTCCGTTTACGGAGCTCAACACCCCATCATGGACCAACAGCTTCAGGGACAGGTCCATGTCCCTATCCAGCACCAGGCTGCTTTCCAACAACAGGCCCCTATCTAACACCAGGCTGCTTTCTAACAACAGGCCCTAATTCAACACCAGGCTGCTTTCCAATAACAGGCCCCTATCCAACACCAGGCCGCTTTCCAATAACAGGCCCCTATCCAATACTAGGCTGCTTTCCAACAACAGGCCCCTATCCAGCATCAGGCCGCTTTCTAACAATAGGCCCCTATCTAACAACAGGCCGCTTTCCAACAACAGGCCCCTATCCAACACCAGGCCGCTCTCCAGCACCAAGTCCAGGACGTTCCTCTTCTTGTTCCTGCTCCCGGCGCTGCGGGCCCAGCGGGTAACCATGGTCCGCCTACACCCTACCCTGAGGCCTTCCACCCCGCCGTCCTGGCCCTCCTCAACATCGGAGATGACCTGGACAATGAAGAAGTCAAAGACATTATCAGGGCCGCAGCTGCGGTTCTGTACGCCGGTAACCCGCAATACCGCAAAGTTTGGATCAATGACGATAGAGTTCAAGAGCGTTGCACCGCGCGCACCTAGAAGGCGCTCCGCGGCCGTTCTTGCCTCCCCCACCTGGCCAATAGGCTATCACTTGCGGCAAAGGTCGACATTCTGCTCCGCAAGTCCCGCGGTGAGGGGACTTGCTCTGGATGTTACGCCCAGACGCCATACGATGATGGTAAGCTGTGCGATAGCTGCTAGAGGACTCGCAAAGAGAAGCTTGGAGCAATGGGGAAACCAATTCAAGGGACGTGGATTGCTACCTACCTCGAGCTTGACGACCAGTAGGCATCCGTCAGGGCAGCGTATTTGCGTAAGAGCTGGAGTGGGAGATCAGCACAGTCGTCAAGGATCTTTTGTTCAGGTGGGATATCTCCAGATTTTTGCGAAGGAGTTATATCTGGTTAGAAAGAGAATTCCAAAGGTGCTTGCGGATGTGTAGCATATTGGCATAAAGTAGAACTTGAGTAGTAAAAAGAACATTATTGCTCACCAAAGGTATTGTGAGTGTCAGCAAGTGATATGTCTACCTCTACCTATAGGTATACATGGACCGATGATCCGGCACACTCCACAACTAAGTCGCAGCCGATCGGGCCAAGGACATCACAGGAACAACTGACATTCGGATTAGAGGTTGGGAACTGTCCGACCCTTCATACTTCTTGTCTATGTGAAATGATTGACAGGATATTCGATCGGAAGATGATGAATACCGTGGTCAGAAATGGAAGTGGAAGGTTCTGGTTGTTACGGATGAAAGATCCCAAAAGAACATCTCGTTGCCCATGGAGGCCAGACGAGTGGGAAGCCCAGGGTGTCGGTAGCATCTGGAGCACGACACCCGCGCTCCACCGCCCTTCTAGAAGGGACTTCTGAACGTCGTCATTTTCTGCCGGCTCAGCCACAGGGGCAAGCCATGCCGACAAAAGGCAGGCAGTGATGTCGGTGTCTCGGTGAATGGCCCTATCCAACCTGGATGCAAATCAGCCAGGCCCCACAAGCTGATTTTGCGGCCGCATTATCTCTTCTGCCAGCTATTCTCGCATCTATTTTAGGCTGTCTTTCTGAGCCGTTCTCGTATCCTCAAACAAACATCTACCAGAAATCATCAACACCGCAAATAACCAACAAATCGGTACAGGTATCTTATCGCACAAAACACGTTGCAAACACAACAGCGGGCATCCGGAGTGAGCAGCGCATCGGAGGCCAGCTACCACAAGATGGCGGACAACGGCGTTGATGAGGTGGAGGTATGAGATCCCAAAACAACCGCAACGTGTAGAGATAGCAGCCGCTGATTACAGTCTTCTGGTAGAGCCTCCATCAGAACAAGGAGTCTAGTAGATTGGGTGACAACAACACTGTCATTCCCCCTGGACTTTCCCAGGAGCAAGGCGTCATGATGGCCCAACCTCACCAGGATCTAGCACCAATTTCACCTCATCACCCTGATCATGGCCATGCCGACGACGCCCAGCAGTCCTTCACTTATGAACACATGCAAGTCGACCAACACCCATTTGGCGACCCTTTTGGTGGCATTACCGGTAATCTACCCAGCCTGGAACGGTTAAACTATCTTAACCGTTGGCTCTGAATTCCGCTCCCTTTTGAGCTTAAGCGTTGAGATATCCTAAGCGTTGAGAATGCTTAAGCGTTGGGAGCAGGGGCTTACACCTGATTGGCTAGCTGGGCTCACGCTAATGCAGGCTATTGGAATTTGGCTTTCTATTGACTACGCCCGGTCCTTCCCCTTGGCTACGCCCGGTCCTTCCCCTTGGCCGTCGCCCGCCCAAGTTCAAAACCACCAAGTCCAAAACCACCAAGTCCAAAACCACCAAGTCCAAACCACCACCACCACCTTGTGTCTCGGCCGTCATTGTCGCCGTCGCTATCGCTATCGCTATCGCTATCGCCGGGGCAATTGAATCTGCGATGCAAATAATGGTCAGCTTGAGCATTGATGCCGGGGTGTAGCTATACCTGCGTTGATGGTGGTGATGATGATGATGATGGTGGTGGTGGTGATGGTTGCAAGAGGAAAGTTGGGACTTGGAGCGGACATTTCAGCTTTTTCACTTTATTAACCCCGCTTCTCTCTCCTTCTCTCTCCTTCTCTCTCTTCTGCTCCCCCACCTTCCTTTTTTCATTCATCGTACCTTCTTAGAATAGAAGTTTTTGACCTTATTTAGGGTCTTGCAGCGGGCCGAGAGCTTAGCGTCCGCTCCCAGCCCAACGGTTAGGAATTCTCAACGTTTAAGATATCTCAACGCTTAAGAGCGTTGGCCTACGGTTAACAGCGTTGTAATACGGTTAAGATATATTAAGCGTTCTAAAGACCCCTAAATTCCCGTTAATGGGCTATGGTGGTTATCCTGACGTCGTGGGAGCTCAATACTCCCAGCAGGCCAGTCAAACCAACTTCAACCAGCAAATCACTTCACCTCCCATCGCCGGCGTCGGCAATCCACCCATGGCTGCGGCATCCATGGGCCAAACGTGCCCGCCCCTAGCCACTTCGCTGGAGTCTCAGCTCCGAGCGGAGGATTATTTCAACCACCTCAGCCGATGGACAACGTCCAAGCCATCCCGGCTGCGCACCCCCCCGGTGTTCATGTCCCCCAAAGCCAGCCCAATGCCAACGCGCCCGCAAACCCTCACCCACAGGCGAACCATCCCGACGTTCTTGCACTGGCAACCATCAATGCCGAAACGTCCGAGGAGGAAATTCGGCAAATTATCCGAAACGCGGCAACCGTCCTGCATGCAAACCACGACCCGTGCCGCTACAAGTGGTTTGAAGACGGTGTTCGGCACCAATGTGGCGCGCGCTCCTAGAAGGAGCACGGCCGATCGTGCCTCGCACATCTCGGAAACAAGCCTAAGCTCGGTTTGCAAGTGAATATCTTGGGGAGGCAGGCCCGTGGGGAGGGTACCTGCGGGGGCGACTATAAATGGTTGCCCACAGAGGGCGAGCTTTGCGCCGGGTGTAAGGCGAAGTCGGACAGGCGGGCGGAGGCTCGCAGGCTCCGTCAGCAGGAAGAGGCTGCCGCGGCGGACGCGGCTGCGGCACTTGAGGCCGCAGGAGAGCAGGCCGACATGGCTTGAGAGGTCTCTAGTGAGGGTCAAGGATGAGGAGGGATGTTGAACACCAATACCAAAGAAAAAGACCAAAAAAAGTAAAAAGAAAAACCCCAAAAAGAAAGCATGCCGGTCCTTTTAAAGGACCGGACAACCCTTGTCTAGATAGTGTACATACAACCGAGTCTAGAAAATACAGCCTTTAGTAGCATCTCAGAGAAAAGGATACACGTTTAAAGTTTGTAATGTGCCGTGTCCCTTTCTGGCCTGTCTCGTTCTCTACAGGTATTTCGTGACAGCAGTCGTGCCTAGACGTCACCCGAAGGTTGATAGTGTTGGCCAAGATGGTTATCGTGGCATCTTGGTCAATCTACACATGGACAATTCTTGTATATATCGAAGATCATTACTCCTTTCTCGTGGTACTTCTTCTTTTTCTGCGGTTAAGTCCACCAGCAGTCATGTCTTCGTGCTTCGTGTCCACGGCACGTTCATTGTTTTCACTTCGACAGATACATTGTGGAAGATACACGCCCGCCATCCCTTTGTCACCCCCAGGCAGCCATCCTGCTGTTCTTGCTCTTGAAAACATTTGCCCCAACCATAACATTGAGGATGTCATCAGGAACGTGGCCAGTGTCCCCTGTGCAAACCACCAGGTTTGCCAGCACACATAGCTCGAGGAGAATAAGGTACCGAGCATCAGTGCACCGCCCAAGCTTAGAAGGTGGGGCGCCGGATCAAGTATTGCCTCGATCACTTGATCAACAAGATCAAGCCGGCCATGAAGGTCCAAATCTTGAGACGCTTTGCCAGGGGCTACGGCACCTGTTCCGGAGCCTATCGTCTAATGGAACGGGAGACAGGCAAGCTGTGTGATCCTTGCAAGGCGAAGGCGGATGCCAGAGGCGAGGTGGCACGCCTGCGCCAGGAGGAGGCTGAAGCAGCAGCGGCTGCTGCGACGGCTGGTAACCAGGGCCAGCCAGGTGCTTTGGCTGAGAGCGGCGCCTCCCAGTAGTGAGTGAATATGTTCGGACTAGCATGGATGGGATTGGGCGTAATGGGGTTTGAGAGATTGCCGGGAAGTGTTCTTCCTCAAGGCATCAGCAGATGTGGTGGTGGACGTTGGGCCTCATGTCTTGACTTCCAAGTCAACACCTCAACCAGGCAAAGGTGAAGGACAAAGGAGGAGCCCAGGAGATCTCAACGTGAAGAAACACCGGATCGGCCGGGTGTCAACAACCACCAGAAGCAGGGTTTACTGCTCCTCTTCAGCAGGCTGCTCCTCTTCAGCAGATGGCTCCTCTTCAGCAGCCGGCCCCTCTTCAACATATGGCTCCTCCTCAGCAGCCGGCCCCTATTCCTCATCCCCAAGCTGAGCACCCGGCGGTTCTCGCCCTCTTCGCCATTACCCCGGCCAGTGAGTGCTCCCGCTCTGAACCAGGGAGCCGTGTTCGGATTCCCAAATGGTGTCCAAGGAAACGCCACGCAGATTCACCAACACCAGCAACTTCCAGCCATCGTCAATCCTTTCTTCATACAGCAGATTTCTCTTTTCCACTACGTCTCTGTGAACTACCAGGGTTTCAACAACCAGCAGGCCCCGGTCGCCATGCCGCACCCACAGGCCCATCATCCGGCGGTGCAAGCTCTCTTCACCGTGACTCAGGTCACTGTGACCGAGGACATTAAGCTCATTATCAGGGACGCGGCAGCTGTCCTCCACGCTCAGCACCAAAAGCAGTGTGGCCGCGCTGGGTGCAACGCGGCCGCTGCAGCCGTTTTGCATGCTGGCAATCGCCGCGTGTGTGGCAAGAACGGTTGTAACACCAGGGCTTAGAAGGCACGCGGGAGAAAGTGCCTATCACACCTGGAAAACCAGCCTGGTTTGTTGCTGAAGGTGACAATCCTGATCAGACAATCGCGCGGTGAGGGCACTTGTAGCGGAGATTATGCCCCTTTGCCGAGAGAGACTGGCGCTCGCTGCAACGCCTGTCGAGTCAGGAGCGCCGCCGCTCAGCAGGCCGCTTTGGCTGCTGCTGCTGCCGGCAACGAAGGCGAGTAACGCACAAGCCAGGAGGACACTTGGAACTCCGAGGCCTGAACTCTCCATTCGGTTATTAAAGCATCGCGCTCACTGATAGTTGAGGCGAGCGAAATTCAGACGGATCTAGACACTCGACAAAGTCAACCATGTTGAAGACCGAAACCAACCGGGAAGGAGGGTCAGATGGGAAGACGTCATCGGAGATAGAAGCCATTCGCAACTTTTTCACTAAAAGGGGACAGGAGTTCTCGCCATAGTATGGAGATTTGAGCGGCATCGGAAGGGTTCATAGCGTTCTTGAGATTTGTCGTTGAGATTATCATGGTTTCGGGGCGTTGTGTTGTATCTCATGCTTTGAGTAACAACGCCCCAGGTATAATCGGGCAGATCTGGCGGATGCAGTAGTTCACTTCCACGCAGCATAGGTGCAAATAGCAGTTTTCTCAAGCTTCCCAAAGACATAGACGTGATGATGTGTGGAAACACCCTGTTGATGATGAGTGATGATGATGTACTATCCATCGATGTATCTGATGACGGAGGAGTAGAAGACAGCACGTCAGAGACGAAGTCTGGCGGCATCTTATAGGCCTGTTCACGTCGTGGCCAAAGCCGTTCCCGACGGATTGCCTTCCCCTCTGTCCAAATGATACAGGTGTTGTCAGACTTCTACTGGACATTTGACGGCGTAATATCCCGTCGTTAATGGGTTTGTCCATCTGATTCGCGTAAAGTCTTATATAGATAGATGTTAAGAAAGACTAAGACCAAGATATTAAGTTCGTTTGTTCACATGAAAGCCGGTCTCGGAGATCATCGCTGCCACGGGGCACGGAAGCCCTTGTGGATGTTGGTATTCCACAGTGTGCCACAGACCAGAGCATGTGTACCGCCAGCGCTTAAAAGAAACCATAGCCGCGGCGGCAGGCCTTCTTGTAAGCCACCTCGAGGGCGCCACAAACTACCGAGAGACATGCCATTGTTGGGTTACCCCTCGAGGTACGTACCGGAGTCAGGAGGGCCCCTCTCCTTGTCTCATAGGTACAGCCACAGCAACGCTCAAGCCGCTGCCACCCCCTCCGTGACAGGCGCTAGTGGATGTCCTTCTGATACAGACGATACAAACAACCTGGACGTTGGGCGTGGGATGTCCATCGTATCGTACAGTATCATCCCAAAAACCTTGAAATGTTCATCGTAATTCCGTGGCGTCGACCCAGCCACTCAGCATGCATCCGTGTATGGCCGATGCTCGGCTTTTTCCCCCTGGCCCGTGACCATACCACCCACGGCCGTTTCGCTGCTTTCTGTTACCTGTTTTGCCTTCACTTGTACAGTGTGCCGGTGGGTCCTTAGTGCCGAACTTGTCCGCCTTCCCTCGCTGTATTTCTTTTGGTCTGGACAATACTCCCGACCGACCACCTTCTTGCGCCATACATCACATTTCGGTTCAGTCAACACCCGATCGCAAAACTGTTCACGGTTGACCAGACAGAGGTGTATTCCTATCACATTCCTCGACCTAGCAGGGACTCGGTGTCCTCCTGCTTTGGTCTTCCCCAATTTCCCCTCTTCAAATCTTCAACGTCCCCCAAATACCCCAAGCCCTCCACACGGAGGTCAACCCCTCAGGGACGTAGACAAGTCAAGCGAACATGGATTGGGCAGGCCTTTATGGCGGCCAATACGGGGTCCCCTTCGTTTATGCTCAAGGAGCCAACCACCAGGGAGGTGTTCCCATGATAAACCCAGGAGCTGCCTACGTCAATGCCTCCAGGGCGGCAGCCTCGCTGTTGAGAACCAACCACCCGTCGCGAATCCCAGCGGTGTCCACCAATCTAATGTTAGTACTGAACCCAAGGGGAGATTCAGATGCAGAGCATTACTAACTTTCCACAGCAACCTCAACCCCATCCGGGTAATCTCAACAGCAACACGTTGAGCTCGCAAGACCAGGTCGCATTGTACCACATGCTCCTGGCCAACCAGCCCCATCAGCAGATGGTCCCTCACCAACAGATGGTCCATCACCAACAGATGGCCCCTCACCAACACAACGTTGACCATCATAACCACAACCAGGTGCACATGAACCATCACGCTCAGAACATGGTCGAAGTCGCCAACTTGCAAGCGCCTCCTCCCGCGGGCAATGCAAAAGTCCCTCTTCCCCATCCCCAAGCGGAGCACCCGGCGGTTCGGGCCCTCTCCGCCATTACCCCGGCCACTGAGACCGAGGACATTAAGCTCATTATCAGGAACGCGGCAGCTGTCCTACACGCCCACCATCAAAAGCAATGTGGCCGCGCTGGTTGCAACGCCCGCGCTTAGAAGGCGGGGCCGCGCTCCCGCTCGTGCCTCGAGCACCTGGGGAACAAGCCCAGTTTGGATCGCAAAGTACAGTTCCTGATTCGCCTATCCCGCGGCCAAGGAACCTGTAGCGATTGTGACGCCTCGATGCCGGTTGAGACCGGCGAGCATTGCGGCCCGTGCAAGGCCAGAGGTGTTGCCAGGCGCCTTGCAGCTCAACAGGCGCAGGCCCTGGCTGCTGAAGCTGCCGGTAATGATGCCGTGTAAGCCTGATCAACCAAAGAGGGACACTCACCGCCAGTTATGGCTAGGAAGATGGAGTCCCCTGACGAAAGCAACTCCCGGTTTGGCGAAATCGAATGGATACCTCATGAGTCCAGACAAGCGGAAGGGAATTAACCCCAGGAAGGAGTGAAAAATTCAACCGAGGTGTCGAGGCCGAGAACTTCGAGAGCCATGGGAAGGGGGGTCAACTTAACGAGGATGGGCAGCACTTACGATGGGGTTAACAATCTCGAATCAGGGTTTGGAAGTTTTCCGGGACAAGTAGAACGAATGTCATGGCTTTGGGCGTCGGGAGATTAGGTGGAATTTCATACTATCCGTATCGATACCCCAGGCATACCATGGTTGGCCTAGCAGATACCTCTAGTTTAGTTCTTTCAAATACTTAGTCTCCATACCTCATCTTGCGTTGCGGACTTCTTGACGTGATTTACATCTTGTTTGTGTTGACTCCCGGCCCTTGACATTTGAATATGGCTCCGAAGTCGAAGTATCGTCGGCGTCACTGTTTGGTAGGTTCCCTAACTCGATTAGACTCGGCCTCTGTCCATGACAAGACAGTGGTTGTCAGGATCCTCATATTCCTCCGTCGGCGAGATATGCCTGTATGTCTTTCAATCAGGTCTCGGCATAAGTGATGAAAACGTTTGACGAGGATGAAGAGTTCGTTTTTCATGAAATTCATGTTGTCATCTGGCCAGTTGCTGAAGTCAAAAAAGGGACGAAGACATTAAAAACGATGCTTGAGCGGGGAGGAATCCACACAAAGTTTGGGGTTGGGGACCGCCGTCTTATATCTCCCGATGGGACGGGTCACGGGTATCAGATGTCGGAAATGGGACATGCATTACATTGTGTCTCACTTCCAGTCATAGATTTCAAGACACTGCAGGCACGACCTACGTGCATGTGGTAGGCAGTTTGGTTTCATTACGTGCTCCGCTTGCCAAGATATTCTGGGGTCTGCATGGTTTTGACACGAGGCAAAGTGTCCGCAGAAGGTGCGCTTCAGCAGCACAGGAAAGAGGACAAAATCACTTTTTGCGGGCAAAGTTCGGTTTAATTTGATATGCACATGCATCGATCTTGCATTTGGCCCCATCTGGTGTATGCTCACCCACTGCGCTCCCGCCTGTGCTCCTACCCCACCTCATGTCAACACCATCTTCCTTCATTCCAGCATATAGATTCGCCTCCTCGATCATGCCATCTTCGCTCCTGTATAAGTAGACGTGTCAAATTCATGTACCCCAACTTTCAGTGCTTCCCTGACTCCCCGTGGTGGAAGTCCAGTCCTCCTTCTTTCCTCCTTGCTTCACCCTCAAATGTCTATTCCGCAGTTGCACCGCAAACAAAAGGGGTGGGGACACTGCCAAGACAAAACCATATCTGCCCATATACATAAAAGGCTTTCTACAGATCACCATGGGTCGGATATTGGGAATTAGAAACGTCAGTTTTTGATGAAAATATTACTTAGGATTCGATTTTAAACCTGCATGGTACCTATTCTCAGTATGTAAGTTCGGGAGACCCTTCTTCGGTACGCGTCCAGAAAGCAAATATCCATCCCTCCTCGCGGGGTCCGAGATCTTATGACTTTGTACACCTGTCCACCGTTGTATCCATTAGCAGTCAAGTCCCACCATCATTGCCTCGCATTTTCCTTTTCTCCACTGTCCACTTTAAGATCTCCAGGGCACTTTCCCCAGTTTTTCGATCTGGATTCGTCACGATTTCAAACCCCCACGGGCTAGCTCCCTTTTGCTTAACCCTGCTCCTCAGCACCCTCCTCGGGATCATGGGCGTCCTGCTCCGCAGGGATTTGTTGATTCTGCTGCTCGTTGTAGCAGTGTTGACAGAAGAGACCAGGTCCTCTCTGTGGACGCCACAGGCAATTGGTGCATGTGCCTAGACCTAACGCGGCATTGCGCCTTTGGGCCTCGAGCCTTCCCTTCCCAGCACGGTTCTTCAGACATCCTCGGCACTTCCTCGCGCCCGTCTGCTAGACGGGTTGCGATTTGCACTCGCTGTATAAGGATGTTTGATGTTGTGCTTGGACACCGGCGGAGCCGGCATGTGGGTTGGCCTGGGCGACGGCTGCGCCCTGATGGAAGCCGTCACTCGCCTGGCCGAGGTTGTTGGCCGGGCCAAAGCTGTTGATCATTCCGTGGTTGGTGGCCTGGCCAAAGCCGTTGATCATTCCGTGGTTGCTGGCCAGGCCAAAGCTGTTGACCATTCCGTGATTGTTGGCCGGGCCAAAGCTGTTGACCACTCCGGGGTTATTGGCCGGACCTGAAATGTTGTTGTCTCCTGTCACGAGGCCCTGGCCCTGGTTGAATCTGGCCGTGTTGAAGTCTTGGATGGAGCTAGATCGGCCCCACCGGGCATTACTGATCGCGCGAGGTTCGGTAGGACGACCAAACTTGCTGACCTCCTCACTGTCGACGGAGGCGAAGGCTCCAAAAGGAAAAGACTTCTTCCACTCCCCACTCCGGACCCACGACTCAAATGCTTCAAGAGGATGTGAGTCGTTACTAGATTCCTTCAATTCGCCGGCGAGAGCAGCATCTTGAATGTCAAAGTCATTGACCGGCTGAGGCCGCCCGTGTTGAGGCGACTTAGGATGGTTCTTGATAGAACCACCTGATGAGGTGTTCTTACTGTTGAGATCTACTGAGTGCACAATAATACGAGGGTAGATAAGTGAGGTTGAGAATGCTTAAATTGGTTAAAGAAGAGAAGAAAAGAAAGGAAGGAATGGACGGTAGAGTCTATCTTTATATAGCTAGATATGAGTTGGGGAAACGTATTTAGGTTGATATGTAATGTAGGAATATTAGTAGTATATATAGGTAATATTTAATACTTCCTTTCGAATTAAATACGGTGAGAAAACAACGCTATTTAGTGTCAGGAGATATTCCAGGCGGTGCCTGGATATCTCCATCCTGTCGTAACATATACTGAGTCAACTATAGGCATATTCATTTGAATATATCATAATATATAAGAATATTCACCCCGTCGGTCTCTATTAAAATTAACGGATTAATTCATTATTACCTTATAACCTATTATCCATTTTATTCACGCTCTATAAAATCGTATATAAAATTCCAGGTTAAGGCTCTCGATAATTGTTATCTTCGCTTCCTTTAATAAAACTATCGCCAATTATTATATACTATTATTCTATCTAATAACCAATTACTCATTCTCTTATTCTTTATTAATATTACTTATAAAGTACATTTTCGCGTAATAAATAATACTTATAATTTAATTTCAAACCGACTTTATTATTCTTTATTCTTTTTCTCTCTTCCTTTCGTAAAGGGGGGAAATTCACTCTTCGTTTCGATAGTTTTAATACAATTATTAAACTTGCTATCCCAAAACCAAAAATATTGCGCATTCCAACTCTTTAAACTCCCTTTTCTTTATAATTCTTTTTATTATCCCTACTAATCTCGAAGCATATTTTTACTATAATAAATAATAACGATTCTATTCTAATTAAAACTTTTAAATTATAGGATAATTAATAATTAAATAAAGGAAAGCAAATTATTAATTATACTATGTCCTAAAAGCAATTTTACTATAAAAAATATCTTTATACCATTACCTAGAATCTTATTATTAAAGCAGCCAAATTTTACTTTAACGAAATAAATCAAATCTTTACCGAAGAAGACTAGGCTATAAAAAGTGAAAACTAAGGCTTTAATATAAATTAAATCGTTAATATAAATATAATTAACAAGAAACTCTAATTTATCTCATAAAAATATCGCCGCATAATTGAAAATTATCCCGTTCTAGATCGCGAAACTTAACCATTTCATAAGAATAAAGATAACTAAACCTATTAATTTAAAAAGTATTATCGCAATTATATAAATTAATTCAAAATTAATAGTCGTAAAATTACTGACGATATAATTAAATAAGCCGTTAAAATACTAATTCGTCCTAATACTAATATATTTAAAATAGGCTCCTAATTTCAATTTCCTAACAATTCTTTTAATATTATTAAAATAATTAACGCTCCTTCTACTAATTTTTCGAATACTATTAAAATAACCAACGCTCCTTCTATCGATCCGATTTAAATCCCAATACCGCTTTTCTTATTACTAATTCCGGCCAACCAAAAAATTCCTCCTATATCTTTAATAGAATCTATCGTTTCACATACTGATTTAATTATACAAATCGCTACTAATCTTACCGAACAATTCGCTACCAACCTAACTACTATGTATTTCGCTAATATAATTTAAATAGAAGCGTTAATTCGATTCGTAGTAAAATAATAATAAGAATGTTAATTCGAATAACCTATTCCGATTGTAGCCGATACTTTTCCAATTTATTTTATTAAACTTTCCTAAAATATTATTCGTACTACCTAAGATAATATAACTTTAAATACTATACGTACTGTTAATTAGAATTAGGGTATAATACTACTATACTATAATATTATAATTAGGGCCCGAAATTTATATATCGCTAGCGCTACTAATTAGTTAAAATATCTTCTTATTAATTATAACAACCGGCGGCCCCTAATAGAAAAGTTTAAAAATGTACTACTTCCTAACCGACTATCTATTAAAAAGGATAGAAGCTATTATTTAAATATAAATTATTTAGTAATTTATATACTAGTAAGTAAGATATATCCTATTTAAATTATTTATAGTATTATAATATTTAATTATCCCGCTTATTAATAAATTAAATAAATTCCGCCGCCCGGTTATTACTCCCGCTAATAAATTAAAAATATCGTTCGCTTAATGAACTCCTTTACTTTAAATTTAAATTTCCTAATATTAAATCCCCAAAACTTCTGCTTAAATATAAAGTCCTCCTCCGGTTTAACCCTTCGTCCGTTAATTATATTAGATTCCTATTTAACCTATTAACCCGTAATAGCCCACTGTATATTTCGCCGAATCCCCTTCTATTAATTCTTCCTACTATTTAGTTAATTTTAATAATAATAATATAATATCGGATTCCGGAGCGTTTAATAAAATTATTTTTAATTTATTAAAAAGGATTAACTATTTAGAAAATTAAATTAACGAACGTTCGTATATACTTAACGGGAATTTTAATGATAAAATTATTTAATAAAAATCCTTTCACGTTAGAGAATATTCTATTTTAACGTAAATAAAGATAAGAAGAAAAAAAGTATTTATATTAATAATAAAATTATTATTTATATTAATTATAAAATTTTTCTTAACGCTATTTACGAAGCTTCGCTCATTCATATTAAATATTATAAGATTATTACTAATAATATTTAAACATTATTACGTAAAGCCGCCCTTTTTTAATAAATTAATACGCTTTCTAACTTTAAATATAATAAATTTTATAATAATTTCGATAGGATTACCGATACCCTTAATTGAATCTTCGGAATTAGGCCTAACGAAGCCTAAAAATAATTAAATACGTATAAATTCACCGCAGAAATAAATAAAAAAAGTAATTACGCTCTATACGAGTATTCTATTAAAATATCTATATATACTCGTTTATAGGGTAATAATAATGATTTCTAACTTTATATTCGCCTATAGAATAACTTATACCTAAAATTAAAATCCTATTACACTAAACCGGAATAGGGCGTATAATTTAGTAATTATATCGACGCCGTTATTAAGAAGGTTAAAGCGGTATATAATAAATTAATTGATCTTTCGAATGTTTTGTACTCTATTTTCTAAATATTTATAAATACCGATCATAATAAAGGCTCCTTTAATACCGCTTCTAACGAAGTATTAATAAACTTTAGGGAAATCTTTATTTATTAAGGCGACCGCGATAATTCGAAGGATAAAAATAATAAACGTTTTAATAATTAGAGTTCTAATAATTAGTTTAATTATAATAATAACGGTAATAAATCTAAAGATAATGAATTTGATAACAGATTTAGTTAGGATAATCGTAACAACGACTATTTAAATAATAATAATATTCGTTTCTATCGTTGAAGTAAATAATTTAGTAAATAGCAATTTTATAAGGATGGCTGCTATACTTATACTAATTAAATTAATATTTATACTAACGAATCTAATATTAATAATAGAATATTTAAATTCCAAAACGAAAATTATAATTTTATTTATAATTTCGAAGAAGAAATAAATTAATTTTACATAAATATATCGGCCTTTACATATAATAATAAATTCTCTACTTATTTTATTAATCCTCTTAATTTCATTATCCCTATATTTTCTAATAATATTATTCCAATTGCCCGGCCGACGCTTAAACCCGCGTACCTGGCCGCTATTCCTAATAGAAACGCTATTAAAAATATTTCCGCCGAAGGCTATATAGTAATTTTACTACCAAATTTACTATCTAATCCCAATTTTGCGGCGATTTCTAAATATTTAAAAGTAGCCTAAGTATTTTATAGGTTATTTAATCTTTTATTTAAACTTCAAATTACAATTTCGAAGGGTTTCTAAGAAACGTTCGAAAGGGTCAAAAAAGTAAAAATCGCGGATATTAAAATAAAATTACTTATACTAGTAAACGGTTGGAAATTAAATTTATCGGATATTAGATATTAAAACTAATATCATTTATTCGTTTTTATTGAAAGTTAAATTATCGAAATTATTCTTAATATTATATTACGAAATAGAAAATTAAATTTGAAAACAATTACTTTATATTTATAGGTTGATATTAAACCTAACCTAAAAATATTACTAATTATAATATACTTTAATTCGGGTTATTTATTAGCTATAATAAACTGTATATTTATTAATAACTTTTATATGAAAAGAAAAGTTAATAGTATTATAACTAATAATTATTTTCAAATATCTACCTTAATTATTAATAAATTAAGCCCGAATATATTATTAAATACCGACTTCCTTTGTTATTATAAAATAAAAGTTAATTTTAGTATTATTTGTTACTCCTTTTGATCTATTTTTGATATAAAAGTACGTAGCGAAATCTTTATAAAAAATTAAGAAGTAAGGGAAAATACGTTTATTACTAAGATTTTCGCTAAAAATAATATAGTTCTTCTTTTAAACCAATTAAATATTTTCTTAATACACTATAACGCCTAATTTAATAATTATTACGGCTAAAGTAAACGCTCAATATAAAATTTTTACACCTAATACCTTTTCTTATTAAATATTATTATACATAATAAAATACTTAAAATAATCTTATACATTAATTAATTTAATAAACTACTTTTTATTAACGTAAATATTCGAATTAATACAATTATACGCCCTTCGCCTAAAGTTACTAGAAAATAATATTTATTAACGCTTCGAACGTAATATATTTAGCCGCAGCAATCTAAACCGGAGTCTCTCCGGAATAATATACTATATATATTAATAAAAGTATAACGGATAATAAGGAAATTGTAATTTGTAAACTAGCTTTTAACGTCCCATTTTACGGATTTAAGAACCTTAATAATATTAAATTTATTCGTTCCAAAATAAACATTGATATTTATAATATTAATCCCGAATTTACTTAGTAAATTAAGAGCCTCCTAAATAAATACGTTAACGTTTTTAAAAATAAAGGGATCGTTCCTATAAAGAAAGAGGATAAAATACCTATCAATTTTATTAAAAAGTAGTAAAATTAGCGGAAAATCATTAAACTTTACCCTCTCGGAATTAAGGATTATAAATCCCTTAACAAAAGATATAATAAAATATACGCCTAAAGAAAATAATATTTTATATTATAATTTACGCCTATTATATACTTTATATTTATTATTTAATAGAAAATTAATAGGATTAACAAAGGTCGTACCATTATTAACCTCTGACCGCTAAATAATATTATTATCCCGGATATATATGTATTACCCGATTAAAAGAATATTATTAATATAATAGTCGGTAAAAGATTCTTTTCCATTTTCGACGCCGCTAAATCTTTCTGTTAATTACCCATTTTTATTTAATATTATAACGGTATGATAATAATTAATCCTCAGAGTTTTAATAATTTAATATCATTCTTATAAATTTTAAAAACTTTCCTACTTTCGTATAATACTTTATAGACGGATTATTCTTTAATTACTATTTATTTATACGAATATATATTAATCATATTATTATCTACAATACAATTAAAGAAGAATATTTATAATATTTAACTACTGTTATAAATTTATTTAATAAATACCG